CAGTTCGACAGAGGATGGGCTGTCTTTTACTGTGTGTCCTACGAGACTCGGAGCAACGCGCGTTTCGTGGCGCGCGACTGTTCGCCTGCTATCGCGGGGCTCACGTTCGGGCTCATCATCGTTCAAGCCCGCCTGGCCTTCCCGCAGGGCGTAGCCGAAAGGCGAACCGAAAACACCACAGACGAGCTGCGGTTTGCCTCGCAACACACGTCACACATGCTCACATCCATCGTGGTGAACGTGCCCGATATCGCACGGGAGCCCGAGGACATGGTTGCGGATGACCAGCACGACTCATTGCCTCAAGTGAAGCTGTTGAAGCTGGATCCTCTTCATGGAATGCAGCACGGGTCATAGGTGGGTCGGTCTAGTATGACTGTGGGTAGCCCGATCCTATGCTCAGCAACAAACCACATTTCTATATGACTGCGAGCATTTTATGTACCTCTGTATCTGTTTTCCCAAAGGACATTGATAATGCGAACGCACACTAATAATAACTATGTTGCCCAGGGGGGAACACTAGCTGACTATTAATCTCGACCTCGACTTAGGAACCTCCGACCAATGGCGATGCAGGTTGCCATTACATTCACGTCAGCCGCTCAGACTGACTTTGACTGCATCCAGTCAATCCGCAGAGCGCGGTCCGCGGCGGTATGCAGGTCAGGGGACGTGTCAATGGAACGTCCGGTACTATTGTCTAAGTATGGTAAGCTACTCCCTATCTCTCGACGTTGCTGTGCAAAGACTGAAGCTTGAGCTTGCTTGGAGGTTGATTCGATGTCTGCCTACAGAAATGTACAATAAGTACGGTGCTAGCACGGTTTGTCGTGTCTTGCTATGGCTTTACATGTCATGAGAAACCCCTGACTTATATCGCACTTTCAGGTGAACCATTCGTCCCGAACATACTGAGCACCGGATGGCCTCCGTTGCCCACGCGAATATCCTCATTTGATGCTGAGCCGTTGTGGCGTCTGCTTCGCGGACAGATCCTCGTCACAGCGGCCATTATGCAGGAATTACCATTGCGCAACTTGCCGAAACGCCAGAGTTCTGCCAATGCAGTGTATATAAGCATGTGTTGCACACCAATACTCTGCTCCAGCCTTCCTCTACGCTATGGCGGGCGTGTCTCATCTTGCCGCGAATCTGGCCCTAGTATGTCTGGAGAACTTCCTGTATGGGATATTCTTTGTACTCTGCCTTACGTCGACCATCCTTCTACTGGGAAGGCGTCGACGCCTGCCTTCACGCGATGTTCAATCTGCCATCAACCCCCTCTTTGTCGGCACCATCTTTCTCTTCTTGAGCATCACGGCGGTAAGAACGTCTGGAACCTGATCAATCCTACTTTGTTCAATGAGCCCATGTAACTACAGCATTGGCTCTTGACCAACATACGCTTGTTTCAAGCGTTGATATTCTTTCAAGGGGGAGCGAAGCCTGCCCTATTTCTAGGCGATCTCTCTCAAGCAACGAACATCGCACAGACGGCCACATTGATTCTCTCTGGCTCCATCTTTGACGCAATGATGGTGAGCTACCGTATGGTCTCGATCCGTCAATATAAGCCGACGAACTAACAACCTTAGATCTATCGTGTCTGGGTGGTCTGGGCCCACACCAAATATGTTGTCATACTCCCGACGCTATGCTGGATAGCATATGCGGGTGAGTGAGGCAACGAGTATGATTGTCAGACCTTTCTCAACTCAACGCACAGTCTGCGGTATCATAATGATATACCGCTTCTCGCTCTATAAGCTGGGGACCGACGTCTTTGACACGCCGACGGGCCAATGGGTCACGGCTCTCTGTATACTAACAATATGGTTCGTTCGTTGTAAGCCTCGCACGTTATTGAATTTGCTCACAACGATGAGTGCAGCACCAGTGTCTACAGCACGTGTAAGTCACTATGGTGAAGATGAGGTATCGAGGTCTGAATTGATTCAGTCATGATCACGTTGCGCATATGGCAGACAAGCCACCGTCTCGAGATATTCGGGGACGATCCAATAATGGTCCGCAATTGATACTCGGATGCTGTGTATCTACTGACCTATCGCTCCACAGCGCGCTATTGCAGTCTTCTCCGAGAGCGCAGCACTCTATGCGTAAGTCAAACAGCACTGCTTCACATTGGATGCTTCATTCGGACGTTCCTTACAGGACCTGGACCATCTTTTTCTTCGCAACGTACGAAGCCGGGTCAAACCTGCAGAATATCGCCAATGCAACATGTCCCGCTATGGCCGGCATCGCTGCGACGCTCATCAACGTGCGTGTAGGACTCGGGTGGGCCTTCGGGTCCGCACCACACTCCCCTGCGCGCACCGACACCACCTTGTCTTTCGTCGTACCGTCCCGGCGGGAGTTCTGCAGTCGGGAGCTGTCCACACGCCCTGTGGAGGTGCACATATCGCAAGCCAGCGACAGATCGGATGAAAACGGGTCGGACAAGGGAGCCATGAAACGCTACGTTCCTCTTCAAACTCGGACCTGAGTGGGTGACATCGTCGAGTATGTGTATCGCTTCATTGGTCAGCCCGACCTACTGCTGATGTACTCAAGTAGCCACATGGTCTTCATAACGAATGTGCTGCTACGAAATAGGTCGGATGTTTCCAGACGACCGTTCGGACTGCATCCGTTCTTTGTCTTAGCCTGGTATCATGGCCCAATGTGCCGAATCGGGGCTCGGTTTGTATATATACCGTTTGCCACATGTAGTACGAACAACTCTTCCAGCCTGAGTGAAGGTCTCGTGTGCATCGACGACTGTGAGTCTCCGTTGCAGACCATCATGATAATAGCCGGCAAGCGTGGCACTGTCGGGAACCTCCAGGAGCATGCGCTTCCATAATGACCGACATCGCGTGCCGTTTGGATCCTTCGTGTCCCGGCCTTAGCTGTCAGTGCCGCTGATCAGACCAAGATCAGACTTCTCGTGTACATTGTCCACTCGCCCCACTGCACCCCCTCCCCCCAGTGTTCCTCGCATCATCGATCGCCAAGTGCATTACTGATTGTCTGTGACCTAAGCACTCCTAAGCAGCAGTGACGACATACTTAATCGATACGGATGTCAGCGTATAAAGAAGCGAGCGCAAGCCCTAGTCCGGACGTTCGCGCGCCACAGGCCAACCTCCCGTTGTCGCGAGCTATACGCTTGAAAAATGCCCCTTCCCGAGTCTCCACTCATCATCTATGTAGGATCCATCATATCCAAAGACAATCTGACTGAGTACCTGGCCGGTATGTACAGCATGCTCTACTGACAAACACACAAACTAATGTCTGATTATCCAAGATCGACGACGTCTGGGTATCAAGTACAGAAGCTTCATCACATAAGTACTTACGATTGGACGTTCGACAATGGTTTTCGACGATGAGTATTAGAGCTGGTAGTGCCACCAGCTCTAATGCTCGTCGACGCTACCGCTGCATCGACTTCGGCCTCGGAGTTCAGCGCTCAGCCTTCGCTGCTTCTGTAGTCGGGTATTGTTCGCGGGAAACTGTGGGCTCAGCGGTGTGCGATCTTCGGATGCGGGACGCTTTGAGAAACGCCGAGTCGTGCGAGTCTTGCGATCTTTAGTGTCGCCTCTTTGTTCCAATCGCAGTGGCGATGGGTGGGATCGTCTGCTCAAGCTGTATGTTAGCAACTAGCAATTAGAATCCGATGATACATGAAGGTACCGAGAACCGACGTGGCGGATAGCCACACTATCGGTAGTCAACACTTCCGTTGTACCACTCACTTTGATTGTGCTGGTCTTGTCTCGAGTTGAGGAGACAGCGGCGAACCCCGAGCTAACGGCCGATCTTCATCTGAACGAGGTATGCCTGCGTCTACCGCGACCTCACTGGCAGGCCCACCCCGAATCCAGACACCCGTTGAGGAGACAAGACCAGTGATCGTACATCGTTTCGACCCCTTAGAACAATACGTGAGTGATTATCAGCCATGACCGTAGGTATACTGTGACCTTCCACTCACCCTGTCGGCGAGGCCACCTTGTCAGTTTCCTTTGTCGCTGAACTCGAGCTGCTGGCGCCTTGGGACACCGCAGGGGTTGGCGAGTTTTGTCGTTGTCTTTTGAGGTCATATTGGAAGCCTAAGTTTGGAAACACGTCTTGCCTACGCATCAGAGTGGTCAACATACGCGTCTCTGGAACCTACCGGCTACAGACGTACCATCTACCTTGAGCCACACGGTTCGCGTAGCCATACCGCCGGGAGTGTACCGTAGGATCGAGACTAAAACAACGGCGCGTCAGAACATTGCGTGGTTCGACGAAGGGCGTTCAACGTACGTGTAGAAGGTCGCCGTTGAGAAGGCCCCGGACAAAGTTGCATGTGGCCGGCGGCTGGACGCTGGAGATAAAGAGGAGTGGTTGATAGTCGGCAAGTTGAGTGGCAACTCGGCGAGTATGGTGAGCATGTTGGTGATGTCGTCTTGCTCTAGGCGAAGGGTCTTCGAAAGGAGTAAAGAGATGCGTAGATGATGGGAAGAGAGCAGGAGCGTTTTGGGAGCCTAAAGGCGGCGCAGCCACTTATAAAGGTGTTGAATCGAGACCAAACAAAGCAACCCATCAGTTCCGGCCGAGTGGCTACAAACGAAGGCCCGCCACGAACGGCCCGTGAACAATGCTTGCCCAAACGAACCTGGATACTGAATGTTCCCTTGCAATTTGCGCAGACCCGGCTGAGGGGTTGAATACCTTTGGCCGCAAACGCGGCCGCACGCAACATCTACCACTCGGCTTGACATGAACATCTCGCAAATGAACCACAGGCGGCGAGGCTACTCACCTCCTCGTCATCTTCCTTTATGTGCCACCCCAAAGACGCCAGACTTTCGGGCGCACAGACAATGCCGAGATGGACTCCAGTCATGAGCCAGTGTATTGTGCCAAAGATCAAAAGCTACGAAAGTCAGTCTCATTTAACCACGTACTGTACAACTCCGTCGTGCACTTGCTCATATTCACAGGTCATCATAACCGGGCATCCCCAACTTCCTCTTCTCAACACCACGGCTCGGTACGCCGAGCCTCACGAGCACCTCCGCCCACGCACAGCACATCCCCGCGACGCCTTCATACAGGCTGTACGGCTCGTCGGGCACATACATCTCGCCCTTCCGTTCCAGCGCGCCGTACTCCGTGGCCAGGTGCGCGAGGTGCACCGCGCGCACGAGCCAATAAGTGTCCTCCCCCGAGTCGAGCGCGTCGGAGACGGCGAGGAGCGCATACACGCTGCCACCAACGCCATGGCAGAGTCCGACGCCCTTGCGGAGTAGGCCGTGAGTGTAGACGAGCTCGCCGCCGCGCTGCACGGCCGCGATGGTCCGATCCCGGAGGGACGATGAGATGGTGAGTGAAGATGACTGCGCGGTTCGATTGAGGAACATGGACAGCAGCATGAGCACGCCGGGAGCGCCGTGGCACCACCTGAAAGCGGCCTTTGGTAAGTCTTCCAGAGGCCCGGGAGTTGAAGACTCACTGCAAAAGCTCGTGCCGGTCATCCTCGCCGATGCTCACGCGCTTCGCCTCTGCGCTCGTCGCTGTGCCACCAGCGACGTGATACAAGTGCCTTCCAGCTTTTGAAGGCCAATTCCCAAGCGGCTCCTGGATCGCCAGCAGCCATTCGATCATCTCGACGATGTCCGACCAGTGCGGTTGAATGATACTTGACGGCGTTAGGACGAGCATATGCAGAATCCCAGCTGTGGTGAGTCGAGTCAGTGTCAATACTCCTGACTTGATCACCATAACTAACCGACACCGTGCGCGCCTCCAAGATAGCGGGTGCTGTGCCATCTCCACATGAGGGGAGGGACCTTGTCGCGCTCGTCTCTAAGACTTGCGAGCTCCTCTTTGTATTCGCGAGCACCGATCTTGCCTCGCTCCATGATGTCCTCAACCAGCGCTTGTACGTTGGCATTGGCGCAGAGCGATGCAACAACACGAATGGCGGGATCCTCGGTCTGGCTGATCGACACACCGCCGTCGCGAAGAGACGCGAGTTCCGTCCGAAGACAATGCAGGGAGTACAACAGCCCTGCGCGGCCATATAGGACATCGCAACCGTCGTCGTCCATCTCTTCACTGGCCGACACTTGGAGGGCAGTTTCGAGTAGTTGAACGCAGGGCGTCCACAACTCGTCAATCTTCTGCAGATCGCTCCCGCCGACGTTGGCCTTGCGCAGACCAGAGCTAACCCAGAGCTTCTCCTTCAGGATGAGGGTTGCTGATCCGACGCTGGTTTCGAGAAACGAAGCGCGGGAGCCTGAATGTGGGACCGTCAACTGCTGGGACGTAAGGGGAGCGATGGTCGATTTCGCCGGGTCCGATGGCACGAATCCTGCCACGCTCTTGTCCATGAGATAAACTCCTGCGAGTCCATCTGTTAGGCAGCCTTCTGGATCCGATCCTTGGGATACATACCTGCAGAACCAATGTATACGCCAGCTCGGGTAGCCGAGTGCCTGTGAATACGCCTCACGTTAGACATGAGTGCGTCTTGAATGTCCTCTTGCAAAACCCGCAGGTCGGCAGGCGGCTTGTTAGAGTGAGGGATGTATCGAGAGGTAGACATTGCCAGCTGTCACTGTGAATTGCGAGAAACTGCTGATGGCTGCTTCAGTTCAAGGAAAATGATTACTAGTCAGCTGCAGAACGAGCCAACTTACCCAGAATCATAGAACTGAGTTCAAGTTCATGCCGCTGACGTCAGGCAGGCCCTTGCCCCGAGTTTCCACCTGAAATGCTCCCTGGAGTCTCCAATTGGATAGAAAACAGACCTGCATGTCTAAAAATGACCTTGTATCGCGATCCCAATAAGTTATAAGACGACTCGGAGGGGGAGGAGGAGGGACGTCGACTGCGAGCCGGTGTGACATTGAGTCAGACCCATATTTGTGAAGTATTGTTGATGATTCTCTGCAAACCCAGGATCAAGTACTAGTTCATGTCGCCTGCACAGAATGAGAATGAGGTCGGCAGCATGCAGGTCAACAACTTAATGTGAGATCGGTGTCCGGGTAACAAGCTGCGAGGACCGTCATCCGTGGGAAGCGTACATGAGCGTACATGCCTTATTCGGTCACTGGTTTGCTCCCAAACGACCGCCTGGCGCGCGGCCCTTTGCTCTGAGTCTGAGATCAACAAGTCGTCCTGCCAGTCACAAACTAGCTTAAGCTTCATGAGAATCCATCTAGAGGCTGAGGCAAAGCTCGAGTATGGCCAACCCGACTTTAAACCGACTTCGTGTCAAGGACAGCTTTGCGCCGTTTACGCTGCGGACTGGACCACGTTGAGTCGCCGTTGACAGCCTGAGATTATTGATGATCAATGCGCAAAACGACGTGCTCGAGAGCGGATCTGAATGCAGTGTTGCCATATCAGCGCGACCAGCGTTATGAAGGGTCTACAGCATGGTTCTCATGCAGTAGCGTTGATAGGGCTTGACCTGCTCAATCATTGCAGTTCAAACTCGCACTCTTCCAATCCCCCGAACAGTGGATCGGTCGCCCAACAGGAGGCTTACGCGGAGTACGTGTAGTGACAGCGCGCAGCTCCCGGGTCTACTCGTGAAGACATGATGACTGGCGGTCATGATATCACGGAAAAGGAATCTCGACAAGACCCCGTCTTGACGAGAGAACCCGAGGCTAGTGACTCTTGTGGTTTGCCTGTCTCATTTGCTCATGAACGCTGTAGAGAGAAGATACTGTGCCCTCGTATGAGTCCGTGGAAGAGCAGACCTTCACAGGTGATGGCGCTTGGAGGACGTGCGCAGAGAAGGTCTGGAAGCATGAGCAAACAACGATAGCGGGATGGAATGGGCAGATTGATACGCTCCTCGTCTTTGTTAGTCGCTTTCTACCGTGATGCACACTCACCGCAGATGCCTATCTCTCGCCTCGAAACATTAGTATTCACGCATGCTCATATAATCTACAGGCAGGTCTTTTCTCGGCGGTCTTAACTGCTTTCAACGTGCAATACTACGCAGCGCTGCAGAGCACTCAAGTAATGTTACAACTCCCCGCAGACATTGCCGCCCCCGTCCTTCTATCCACCCTGGCGACCACTTCGAATTCCCCCGTTGCCATATCAGCAATCGTCATCAACACACTCTGGTTCCTCGCTCTTGTCCTGAGCCTGGCTGCGGCATCCGTCGGCATCAGCGTGAAGCAATGGCTCGTAGCGTACATCCCTCCGGAAAGCACTACCGCGCGCCAGCGCGCTCGAATATGGCACCTGCGACATCGCGGTTTGCGTAAATGGCGGGTACCCGCCATCGTGGCTATGCTCCCGATCCTCCTCCAGCTTTCCCTGCTATCATTCTTGGCTGGCGTTGTCGTGCTCCTGTGGACGTTGAACATGATCGTCGCTATTGTCGTCATGGTCCCAGTGGCTGTGCTTATCCTGCTCTCCGGCCTCGTCGCCATCATCCCGACTTTCGCACCCGACTGTCCGTACAAGTCACCACAAGCGTGGTGGATCTACCTGCTCATCCATCGACTCACTCGTTTCGACGGGACGCTCAAAAGACGGCTATTTGAAACACGCCGACACTTTCTGCTGCGCCTCTGGAGAACCGTCGTGACGACACGAGACTGGCTGGACCGCGAAAACGGCCTGCTTCGCTCGGAGGCACGGGAGCAGACGTCCGAGTCCGTCCTGGATACGGTAGCCGTACTCGTGGCGGCAGATCAGCTGGTCCGCGACGACGAATTTCTCCAGGATGTCATCGTTCCTGCATTCCAATTAGTGGACTCGTCACGCAGAGATTTCGACGAGTCTCTTCGAGCATTCTATCAACTAGTACAGTCCAGGGCGCACGTCGCGCTGCCATCCGCCCACAGCACGGGCGATTCGTTGGCCCTCCCGATCATGTCTTGGTTCAAGGACGAAATGGACAGCGGATCGGTAGCTGCCATGGCCGATTTGACCTTGGATATGCTCATCAAAGTAGCTGGGGAGCTGAGACCCAACCGGGCAAAACAAGCGCGAGAGGTATCACAGATGCTCGCGATACTACAAGCGCTCCTTGCTGCACTCCCTCGATCCCAATCCCGTGCCCTCGTTCGTCTTATCGACTGGTATTGCGACGAGGCTACGACCTACCGACCTTCCCATGCTGGCGAAGATGACCCGGTGGAGGCGATCTCCCAGCATGCAGTCCGGTACCGGTCTAAGATCAAGGCAATGCCTGGTTCGTCCCATCCCTTGCTGTCTGTCTCGTGCTAATCGCATGTACAGTTCGTCAGCAAGCCGCCTTGGGTTCAAAGGCCATGGATCGACTCGAACAGCTGTTGCATGATTCCGCGTCTGGGAGTTTCCAACATCGTCAGGCAGAACGGGGGCTGCTGAGACTGATAGGCGTCGTACTCGATAATCGACAATCCCCGGTGACAGAAGAGTCTGCCCTTGTCGTGTCGCGTCTCTGCCACTTGCTGGGAGGTGACAAACCAATCCCGCCAGGCACTCGCACTACCTTAATATGGCTGGCTGCAAGAGTTGCGGCAGATCTACCCTTGGAAGCAAAATGTGAGTCACTACCGTGAGACGCGTGACAATGTGCTGATCATCAAAGTAGCTGTCATTGATCTTGTAGCTTGCCTGCGAATGCTTTCTCAAGAGCCTCACAACGACATACGCTCACAGAACACTTTATGCCTCTGTACTGCTATCGAGACATCTCTCGACAACATTGGGTCAGACGATGGGCTTGCAGACGTATCCGACCCTTTGCGTTCTGCTCTTCACGAATTCCTCGATTCGATCAGCTACTTGGACCGATACGGCATGTTCGATTACTTGCGAGGGATCCTCTCAGTATATGGGGCCATGGCTCGGAGGCAAGCCCGGTTCCTCACGGTCTCTGATCTCGCGAAGCTGGATGCCTGTGTCGCGGCCTGCACCGAGGGCTGGCCGCGAGGTCTGGCGGAGGCGAAGATACTCCAGGAAAGATTAGCACACTTGCATGGTGTTCTGGACACGATTCCGTGCGTAATGATCCATTCTTCGCTTGACACCTCACTCATCCATACACAGAAATACTGAGGGTATAACCCAGGATGACGCTCACATCTCTATCTGTATCACCGCCGTATGACGCCAATCGGAATGTACTTCAACTTCAACCGCGGAATCGTCATGATCTACTATCTCTCGCTCTGTATTTGGGCTTGATACGCAGAGGTGTCGTTGGATCACGGCTCTGTGTATGATTTCATGATACGGTTTGTTGCAAGTTTCGCAGTCACGAATCAACTTACTCTCGCAGAATTAAGCGAGTGCCACAGTTGTGGGGTATGTATCCGTATCTTTGGTCAGCCCAATCTACGGCTAATGTGCTCAATCAACAGAACGTCTGAGCAAGTTCTTTCCCGCACAAGAGGCCCGGTCTTCCCCAGACGACTGCTTCAGTTGTCTGTCACGGTCGTAGCCTGTGGGTCCGCTGAGCCTGGGTGCTCCCAGTTGAGACTCACTATACGGTATGCCGTTCACCACATGAACTAATGACGTTCGCATGCACTGAATGTGTGCGGTAAGTGCATGAAAGTATGACTTGGGATCTCCTAATAGGACGTAGCCGGGCCAGCCTGCCGTGACGCAGGAAATCTTGTGTGCCATGGCTCAGGAAGCTTCTGCTTCAACTCTCCTCTCGTCACTGTAAGATTCATTTGCTCTACACGTCTCTATTCATTGCAATGCTTGTCGACCGTCGTTCCTCTGTCTGCAGCTGACGTTCTCAATTCTGCTTTATGGCGGCCAAAAATCAGATCGTTACGAACAACGGGTTGAATAACAAGCGCCTGCGCGGTGGCGCGGCCACCGCAGATAAGTTCTCAACTCCGCGATACTGTGGCTAAATGGATCCTCCTCCTCCTCCTCCTCCTCATCCCGTCTTTGGGCGAATTGCCATGTTTCTATCTCTAGAGTGTGCATAGCAAGTCTCGTCTGCTGGATTCTTCCCGAGCTGGATTTGGGAGCGCTCCCCGTCAGTCCTGCATTACACCCACGCCGCCCACTGTTTTCGTGGCCACACTCGTGCGTATTCACCTCAAAAAGATCGGCTTCAGAGTGGAATCTTTTTGAAGAATTCGTTGTAGTACACACCATTTGAGCTGCCCCGCCCTAGCGGTTCTGTGTCTGCGAAAGAACGATGTTTCACTTTCAGCGGCGTTTCAGGCATCCGATCCGGCGTTTGGCTGATACCGTTGCCACCCAAAGAGGATGGAGCCTATAGCTGACGCCGTGGCCGACATAACGTAAGTTAGGATGCACTCAGTTCTGGTCTCATGTCGGCGATTTGAGCGCATTATTCGACCTCAGGCTTCGCTTCTTCGCTTCTTCCCCCGGTCAGCTCGTCTCTCACTCTCATGAGTGTACATCCAACCAGCCAGCGACTGGACGCGTAGCCGCTTTGCGCCTATGGCTAACGCCGCGTCCGTGAACGTGAACGCGGTTCTCTCTGTCAATCTCGCCAGTATCTGCATTGAGAGTCTCCTTTGCGGCATGTTTGACTTCCTCACCGTTGCGTCCATCTATCTGTTGCACATCCGAACGGAGGCAAGACGTGACGGAAGACCGCCTTTGACATTACCGATACTCGTCGTTTCTGGCACTCTGCTGGTAGCAGTCACGACGGTACGCCATCTTATCTTGCAACGCCTCGTTAGACGCTTATACCAGTCAGCATTGGATTCTGAGCATTTGTCGCTTATTCATAGGTCTGGGAGGCCATGGACCACAAGCAGCTGTGGCGTACTTGGCCGAATGTGGCCAGCCACTTTATGTGGCGCAAGTCGTCATAGTGTTTCTATGCATAGTCATAGCAGACGCGATTTTGGTGAGTAAACTGCATCTTGTGGTAAGTATAGACATGATCGTGTGTTGATTGCGTGCTATACCGCTTTCAGGTCTTCCGTCTCTGGGTCGTCTGGTCCTGCAATAGGGCTGTGGTTGTACCTCCCCTTGCTATTTTGGCTGGACTCGTGGGTTAGTAACTCACATGCGTTGTCAATCGTGGGTGTCTCTAAGCGTGTCTCAGCTTGTGGCGTAGGTGGCACATATGCTTCCACGGTAGTGGGACACACAGAGCCTGAAACGGATGGGTTGACGAGCGAAGTCGGCAAGTGGACTATGAGTGGTTTGATCTGCACGCTCTGCACGAACCTGTACTGTTCATGTGAGCTTCGCCTTACTCCAACTCGCGCATCACTGAAGTACTGCAGGTATGATTGCAGGGAAGCTCCTTCGCACACATCACCGCACTAAGCGCGCAGGTGCGTCCTGTGCAGTTATTCTGGTGAGTCTGTCTGTTCTGACAATGACTGCAATACATGACGCCCTCACGACCATGTAGAATTGGCTCCCAATACTCATTGAGAGCGCGGCTTTCTATACGGCATGGTCACTCTTCTACACCATATCTTATGGAGCCCAGAGCACCGCGAGGTACATTGGCACCGCGTGTTTGCCCGCTGCAGCTGGAATCGCTTGCACGCTCATCAACGTTCGTATCGGACTTGATCAATTACTGAAGAACGAACGGCGGCAGGGTATTTGGGACAGAGCGCCGCAGTTCACGACGTGGATACCGGAGTGGGTGTCGGAGACCTGCGACAACACTGAAGCTCAAGCCACGCAATCACGGGACTCACGCGACGATGCTAGGGACAAGGGATGATCACCGCTCTCCCACCCGCGGACCAAATCTCCTTTGGTGAGTAGTGCATGAAGTCTAGACTTGACGTCCCATGAACGTTCATAATCGCTGCCCAGCTTGAGGATTCGGAATCGAGCCAGCCGATCGTCCTACATAGATATCGTATGACCACCGAGTGCCAGGCCTATCGGATTGTTCTGTCATAAGTGGTTTGTTAGCCACTACCGGGTACCGGTCAAGACGCGGATGGCTATCGCCACATTTCGGTACGAAGAACACGGACCCGGCATTCGAGTAGACACGTTCCGTCTTCTCGTCGATCCGTCATCTACCGAGCTCGTCAGCAACATCGGCCAATTCCAAGCCAATTCTACCATTTAGCTGTTGGCATCGATATGCTGGTGACATTTACGTGCACTACTTTGACCAGGTTAAAGGTATATGCCACGACATGAACCATAACTCGCCTGGCAACCATCGTAGCGTGGTTCCTCATGCAATCTGACGGTAGCAGCGTATCTGCTTCTCTTGCTTGTCAGCTCAGATACTTCTTCTGTCCTCTCTGGTCAAAAATGCCGGCGATGAGAAGACGAAGGAAGTGGAATGAAAGACACACACCACAGCTGGTCATGCCGAGTCGGGCGGTAGCGCTACCAAGGGTATCCCGAATGCGATGGTTCGGACTAGCAGTCCGGATGGTATTGAATAGGAGATGATCTTCTGAAAGGCATGGCTTGTGTAGGAGGGGAAAGCCGTTTGATGCAGAAGGCATGCACCACACTAGTCAGTCGTTGAAGGCTCAGTGAACCTTTTTCGCTAGTGTCGGCCGCGGGATGCTTGTCAGTGAGCCCGATCATCTAGACTAAGAGACATTCGAAGGCAACGCGTGGTATGAAGCGCAACTACGTGCCATAGAAGACATAGACGGAGTGCGTAAGGTACTCCATGAACGAACAATCTCAGCTGGTGAATGTCTTTAAGTATTTGTTCCGAATTCAGGACAACATCGTCTACACGATACCGAGGGTCCGTAGCACACTATATAAGTCCCACTCAACAATCGTTGCCACAAGAGGTTGGGAGTTAAAGTCTGTCATACTTACCAAGAAACGTCCGACCACGTTATGAGAAGCCAATGGACCTCGTCAGACCACCGAAGGTTGTGAAGGATGTCACTACGTTTCCCCCATAGACGACCTCGACCGGCCTCGCGGTGATGCCCTCGTCGACCGTGACGTTCACCGAAGTGGGCTTTCCTTCAGCCCACTCCAAATCCAGCGTCATCCCTCCTCGGACCCTGGCCCCTTTGATGGAACCAGTGGGCCAGACATTAGGCAGTGCTGGGAGTATGGTTATGACGAGGGGCGTCGAGTAAGACGCCACGTCCGGGGCTTGCAGCAGTCCATTCTGTGTTACGTCAATCTCCACGCCTGAGTAAAAAAAGGGCCACAAACGCACGAGGAGCGCGGCGGGATATCCGAAATTTGCATCAATCTGGAAGATTCCGTCTGGTCCACCGGTCGGAGTGTAAATGCTGAACAGGTTGGGCGCGATATTTCGTTCAATGGTGTACTGCATGCACGAAGCCTGGTCAACCTCGTGCCGCAATCGATGCGACTCCAGAACCTACCGAGAGTTCGAAGTAGAATTCGCTCGCATTCCCGAGCTGGGCCCAGCACGCAGCTCGCCATGCTTTCTCCCATCCGGCGTCCGCGTCTGGGCCAGTGCCATTTCCACGATGATATAGACTTGTCTCCGCCGCTGCGAGCACATCACTCTTGGTGTAGGTGGTGCTACTGTTCTGAATCGATGGGTCGTATGAAGCTATAGCGTAGCCAGGGTACAGTCCGATGAGATGCGATAGATGACGATGCGTATCGGTAGGTGAGTCCATATCGACCTTCCATTCTGAGGGTAGTGATTAGTGGCTATTGCCATTACGTTACGAGAAGAAGCGAAGCCTACCTTGTAGCTGACCCCATGAGCCGATATGAATGCCGTTGTCCATTTGAGCCCGTTTCGACCGGATCTCTTCGAGGGCATTCACATCAGTTGCAAATAGATTCACACGTAGCATGGCATACCTTCCAAGAAAGATGTATCAGTATCCCCTGAGACCTGGTAACCCTTCTCAATAGCGTTGAAGAGTTGCCAGATTACCTGCTGGGCGTGAGCGCAGCCTGTACGAAGCCATCAGATTTTCTTCTGCAATCGCACTGCGAACATGGACTAACCAAATGTGATCGGTACTTGCTCCGGAGAGTTACACGGAGCCGTGACCAGCGTAGAGTCGTTGAAATACAAGTCAGGAATAAGTTTATCTAGATGGAATTGTGCGACGCCCTTTTGCCGATCACGAGTTAATTGACGTAGAAATATTCAGAGCGCGACCGACGAACCTTGAGCAAGGGCCATCCCTGTTGTTGGAACCAAGTTTTGTTTCCCGTGTAATCATAATGATCCCAGACGTGGAACATCTACGACACGTCAGTTCTAGGAGAGTCACAACAGTATATGACGCACCATCCAGACCGCAGACTCTGTGTGCGTGTTAGACTACTGGTTTGGGATACTTCTCAATTGTATGGAGAACATACCTGGATAGTCGGCCCATTGCGCCGAATTACCTTCGAGCTTCATCCCAGTGTGCCCGAAGATCTAGGTGTCGTGAACTGATCGGCGATGTAGAGAAGTATCAGACTAACGTACATTCATCTGTTCGAATTGATGCGCTTGAACACACGAGTCCGCTCAGAATTGCGCAAGGCACGTACCTCGTCGTGGGTAACCCAGCCTCGCGAGATGTTGTATAGGATTTGCGCCGTAGATACCCCACGCGGGGCCCAGGTATTCTGCGCAGGGCTCAGTTCTAGTATTCAGCCCTGCGCGTATGCGGTTCTAACCTCTATATAGTTGAACAATGGCAGAACCACGTCCATATTGGTCGTCTCTGCGAACCAATGGTTCATTTGTATGTTGATGTTGGAGTCTGCAGGAACACCGCGTGAAGCTCCCAAATCCAGAGCAGCTGAGCCATACACTTACGATAATCTGTTGGTACGATAGAGATTAGTGTTAAATACTCAGAAGCCAGGATTAGAGCTACATACCGGAGCCCCAAGCATTCGTCCATGATTCTACCCACTTGCCTTGCAAGTTCGGGGGCAACACCCCTCGTGCGCTGGACACCAGCAGATACCTTCCATAATTGAACAAGAGCCACTCGAAATAAGGATTTCCTATATTCGTCTGGTACGCCGCTTTAAGTTGATCCGTGGGCGTCGACAGATCAGGCGTCTGGCCCAGGTCTAGGGAGAACGGAGAGGTGACAGAAGTATAATCAGAGATATGAGCCTCAAGCAAGTCATTGTAGGTCTGAGCCGTTGCCGCGTCCAGCGAGCCATTGAGCGCGTTGTGAGGATCCGCGCCCGCAAAGGAGAAACTGCTTGTGGCGCTGCCTGCGTGCATGTCGTATTCTGTCCCGCCGACCCACGTAATCCAGGCCTCGTCTGCGCCATCCACGCTGAGAGTCGCATTGGATCCGGAGGGCGTACATGCGATGATCGCGTTGGGAGACGCACGGACCCGTGCAAGGACTTCGTAAGACATGCCGGGGTTGTTCACGAGGCCCTGGACCATGAGGGTTGCATTATCGAGGCAAGTCACATTGGGAACCGGGAGACTGGTCTCGAGGGTGACCGACAGAGCATAAGTGAGTGACGGGAGAGTCCCAGTACTGTTCACGTATTGCACACAAGCCTCTGCGGGGTGGGAGCAGAATTGCTCGCTGCGAAGAACAAGGTTTGGTGTCAATGAGATGGTCGGAGTGACGCAAGTCAAACTTGAATATGCCAACTTACCGGAAATAGGATTTGCCACTCTCGTCGGTCCACTGAGTACGTGCTACAGCTGCGTCCAGATCCAACCAACGAAAGTAGTCCGACCCAGCGTCAGTTGAGTTCATGGTCGTCAAAAGTGCGCCAGCGGCGGCATAGGAACCTGCATGAACACGTTCGACTGCATAATCATCTTGAAGGTAGTACTCGACATACCGTAAGCGCCAGCATCCGTCATCAAATTATCAATGTCTAATCATTGCCCAGGTCAGGAGGCAATACATGGACGTCTACAACACCTACTCTGGATGGTTCCGGTAGAGCTACCAAATATAGCTTGGCGGTACGTCTGCATGTCTTCAGCCATCGCGGCCTGCTGAGAGGGTAATTTGTTCCCTCCATTGTATGTCTATATAACCGGTTAGTTGCACGGACTCCCGATCAATTGATCCACAACGCCCAGATAGCTCGACCGGAGTGGGATGTCAAGTCCGCGACACGACTATCACAAAAACAAAAGTCCGAACGCGATCGAGCTTTCCGGGATTCATATATTATCACGAGTAGTAGCACGGACATACCGGATCTTGCATAGGACCACCAGACCACAGGGATTCGATGTTCACGAGCATAGTTTCCTGAATGGTGCCTCCAGGGAGCGTAGCTAGACGGATGACTCAGTTCTAGACCTAACACGACTCCAAAGCCCTTGAGCCACTCGCCCGCGATGTACCCATTGCCGATGGGGAGCCATTCCGATGACCAGGCGTCCACGTCACCAGGAGCGGTGTACCACAAACCGTTACCAGATGAGGGAAAGGCTGGAGGGGCTGCTTCGGCCAGAAGCGTGAAAAGCGCCGCAGTTAGAAACGTGCCGCGCCTTACACGAAACATGGTAAGAAGCACCTTGCAGCCCAGACTGTAGCAGAGTGGGGGCAAGCACCGCTTGCAAGGGTGCGTACTGCATGCTACTTAGCTGTATCCTGCGGCTTCCACGGCCCACGGCGACCGGGCAGTGAGTTCCCAACGGCATACTGTGTGTCAACACAAAGTCTCACATGACTATGTCACCCGCGCCGTTGCGGATTGAAGCACAGGCCCCGTAGGTTTGCGGCGATCAGATATGGCAATGAGACGCTACTTTCGAGCAATGCCGTAGATGATGCCGCGACGGACTGGACGAGAACAAAGTTTACAGTTGGCTTCGGGCTATGTATATCGACAAAATTTCACAATGGCCGTTTTGCCACATGCAATGCTGGACGAAAAGACGTCAACTGATTTCCATCGTCACACTGCACAACCTCACATGGGACTCACATGTTCTTGCTTCGCTCCGGGGCCGGGCCCGTAGGCTTCAATGTTACAAATGAGAGGCCAAGCTGGGGGCGCCAGATGCGGTTCTTATCGCGAATGGCTGTACCGAGCGCACTTACGGTGCTTCCGGTGCGTTGGCAGAATGGACCTCACGCGACTGCACGAGGCAAGAAGGAAGGCGAGGATGCGGGTGTGAGCGCTTTGTGGCGCTCTCGAACCGCTCTTACGTAATCAAATAAGAACACACGGTCACGTCGCCGCTGCCGCGGTGTCTCCCACCGCCGGTTCCTCATATGGCTCCCATGAGCCTGAGGCCCATTCGGCCTGATGTAAGTCACCCGTGTCCTCTCATGCAGGGTATGGTCGTTGAGCTAAGTGACTAGGTAGACAAGTTGGTCCAGATGCAAGAGTCGGACCGTGCCGGTCTCAGCGTACGTACAGACAGTCCTGCTTAATTATCAACAGCTTCGCGGGAGAATTGAAACATAGAGAGCCGGTTCCCTCGGACATGCAGACGGAATCGGCGTGGTAGCCGACTTGGTCCGAGCATCGAGCTAAGCGACTCGTGCACCAGACGAGCCTTTCCTGAGTATGGCAGCAAGCGGAAGTATACAGGGGATGCACAACTGGCAGGGGAGATCCGTCAATCACAGCCGCTCGTCGATGGGTCTGATTGGATGTACGACGTGGAGATACGGGTGTTTGTTCCCGCGGCACCGCACAATCCTAGCGGTCGGGTTAGTATGCGCTGCGGGCAATTTTGCAGCATGGCTACACAGAATCATACAACACGCACCAACAAATCCTGGTGCTTCTTTTCGGACACTTGTATTTAAAGCAGCATGCATCGTCAGACTTGGTCCTGAAGAGCCCGCCGTGCTGTATCCTCCCTCAGCGTTCTAAACTTACATGTGCGTTGTCTCCCTGCATATCCGCTACTGATCTCACTGACACTTCACAGATAATGCAAGAACAGGCAGGACTCACTTCCTTTCCCGATGCTAAGGGGGTCCCCGAACGCGAGATATCGTCTGATCCTCAGCTAAACTTCAATGGGCTTGGCAGGCTGAAGGGTGTCACCTATCGCGTCGGTTTCCAGGTTCAGCGTGAGCTGCGCAATCAATTCGAACCATGGCTCAGAGTACCGCCACCTCCATTTGACTGTATCGATCCGAAACTCACGCTACTTGCCCAGTACTATAAGGCTAAAATAGAGACGGCAGACGGCCGACAGGTCGCCCAACTCACCTACCGAGTCGTGAATGGAAATTATCTCGAAGATTTCCATGAGGATCTTCAAATGTCCGAGTATGGCGGCCAGGTAAAGGCACTGCTTCATCGAGCGGTGAAATCGACAGGTATTGACACTTCCTTGGGTGCTAGGAATTAGAAGAAATATTTGCTCTCCTGTACGAAAACGATGGCCGCTTGCGCGACAGGTGGATGACCGGCCGAGACGCCGGCACAAAGATCTTCGGACCAGAGCTGAGTGCCAAGGCTACGAAGGTCGCAGTACTTTCCTGCGTCGACAAGGACCCACGCGGCGACTTTCTCATGGTACACGAGGATTTTCGCCGACACGGAATTGGTCAATGGGCACTTCAGGCGCTCCTACAAGTGCTCCGTGACGAGGTGAGTCAATCCGTCCGATCACACAGCTGCGTGACGGCCCTTTCTCAGTCCCGGATTTCTATAGGGCGTGAAGGTAGTGCTAACGCGGCCTACCGCTCCTCGCCTTGAGCCGGAGTACAAGGGGACGCCTGTTGAAACGCTGTATCTGAGACGTAACCTTAGATTCGCCCGTAAGGTAGGTTTTCCGCCACTCCAATTGTGTCTTTCCTATTTCATTCTTGGGTTCGTATTGACCATGACTATTTTCAGGCCGGGTTCCGCAGAGTGGGTCTGTCGCCAATTTTCGCTTACATGGCCACCGATTCCAACCACCCCTCACGCCAGTTGCCTGCGGACGGGGACACAGTATGTTCAATTCCTTTCGGATGAGTCTGTGTCTCATAAACGCTTAGGATCCTGCGAGCCCATGACGACATCCTTGGTTTACGGCTTGGCTAGACGACCATCCCCTCCCTTCATCTGCTATCGTGCTTTCGTCTCAGTCGTTCACTTGTATCGATGGCATTCAACTGCCTTCCGTGAGCAATTGTAACCATAAAAAATCGTGTATCACCGCAGACCCTCCCTTTTCTACTCAGCTCGTTTCGCGATGTACGGCTTGTTCTGCAGTTACGTCACACCTGCTTGATTGTTCATTCTGTCATCATGATCGCGCCCAGACTAGGCCTCACGACTTCCCCGAATGTCACTGTTGGGAAAAAAGAAAGCCCATGATTGGGCAGTCCGCAGCCTTGCCTCCGAGGGTGTATCAGCACTGAAGAACGTAGGCGAGTGTTAAGAATCACTCGTCGGGATTTCCTAAGTAGCCTGACTTCTTTCTGCACCGCCTGTACCCAAGGCGCTAGGTTCCGAGCGCCAGAAGAAAGTCGCTCGAACTTGCTTCCCTCAGGCCTCCGTTCGTACGTCTACGTCCTGATATCAGTTGTATACGATCCCTGATAGAAGACCCTGCTGTCACGTATGATGCCACTCTCACAACCATCGCACAAGGGAATGAATGGCCCCGGTGGCCGCGGCCGACGTCCGGAAGACTGAACCGCCCGTCGGCAAATCGCTGACCGGGTATATGACAGCTTCGTGACGGACGTCCCTGAGGTGATGATCTACCTGCTGAGCTCCGAAGGTCGCATCGAACCTAGGCATCGCCCTGCATGTGGGCGGGGTATTGAGTTGACCACAATTCAAGGCAAGACACGGGAGGTCAAAGTCATGTTCGATGGAGATGCCAGGACGCAGGCCCCCCACTAACCACCGTCAGAGCATACTCTGGTATGTTTTACGCTCGGCATACTTTTGCGGGAGTCGCGGCTTTGGCCCTGATATTTTTCATACAGAGATTCATTACGGCGCGAGGAAAGGATTTTTGTAAGTGCGTCCGAGTCTCGCCGCATAGCGAGTCGAAGGAAGCAGAGATAAAGGGTCATCGTGACCGGCGCCGCGGGCATCCGCCACACGGCAGAGCGCCGACTCGGATAGAGCTTGGCCAGGCTCGTCATGACTATAATCCTCAATAAACGTGGTGAGCATAGCAGCAATTTGACGTCAGAGCCAGGCAGCGCTGCTTGAGATTGAGATAGGCAGAATTTTTGAAAATGTAAGTATCATTTGCTCAGATTCGTGCGTCGCGCTACTGGGACAGACGTGCACCTACAGAATACTAGGCAGTGCAAGGCCGAAAACAGGTCTCGATAGAGAATGAGCCGTACGTGGCACGAAGACAGTCATCGACGCACTCTCGAAACCATTGCAGAAGTCTTTTTTGCCGTCAGCAAAGTCACGTTTATAACTTGAAGGCGTCGTCGTTATTCAAGTTGCCGAACTTCCCTTGTGTGGACCTTCTCTCGGTTCCGTCACGCTTGCCTGATGGATAATTGCTAGGAATAGACTGATTGCCTTCTGTGCCATCACTTCGGGTCCGGTCGTGGGAGCAGTCTCGTTGACCACGTAGTAGTAGGTTGGCCTGTCCGCCACATGGCCCGTGCCCTCTCGCAACATATGATCCCCACTCCCTTCAAGTTGTCGGTACCACAACCCTCTGATTCACGGCCACGAGCCGCCTTTCATGCAGCCCAGCTTTTTAGAGACTGTAGCTATGGTTTGACAACAGTTTCGTGGCGACAAATCAAGAGGTATCCAGTCAAATATTTGTGAACAGGTGAGCCAGTTCGTTCAAGCTGTTGAGAACCGACGAACTCATCCCTCGAACCGCGGCAAACCTTTACCCTCGAAGTTGCGCTCCAGCCTCCGCATCCACGGTCTCCGCTTCGGACTCCACTCCTCACTGAGTCCGGTGGTCAAGTACATAGGCTAGCTTGAGTCACACTGGTATTCCTGCGGTTTACGAAGGACTAGCACAGTGCTTCTGTCTCCGGAAATGCAAGTGAGTCGCAGGGTGGTCGACGCCGAAGCGCTACACAAGCGTCGTGCCAGTGGGGAGGTGGTCTGCAATTTGGCAACAGGCCTTTGTAACCGGTGCGTGACGAGCCAGCAAGTCCTCGCATCGACGCCACTCTGACCATATTTTCCCACTTAAGCAGACATTGGAATTCAGCAAGTGTGGGGGCTAGGACCATGAGTAATGCCCGCTCCTGCGTCTCGACGGAGCCGGGGCCATCTGCGGCAGGATGACGGCCTGCACATGGCGTCATTGTCCATGAGGAAGTGGGTCGGATTATGCTCGATGTACTCAGTTACATAAAGGCGGACTCTGCGTACACTTAGCGGCTCACGTCGTTGGATGAGAAGCCACGGTGCGATGTCCTTGTCCGATCGCAGGAGGCTCAATGACGCTAGCAACAACTCCGCGAGGCTCAGGTTCTCCTCTCCTACCTCTGTGATCGTCAGAGGACTTTCCTTCGTCTTACTCCTTGCGTGGACTCTCCTCCCTTACCAGCAAGGTCGTTCTGATATCAGCATCCTCCAGGTCAGGTTGGTAAGCTGTGCTCGGCATATACGTCTACATTTTTTTTCATGCAGCGAAGGACATCAGACCTGAAAGCACGGCGCTTGTGACTAAATTGCTGTCGGTCGCCACAGTACTTGAGTGTATGCAGACTACGCACGATACGGAGTCGCTCATCCTGCATTTTGGCAGGACGGTGGTAATAGATTGCTCTCCATAGGTAAGTAGATATCCAAAATCGCGGTTCTTCTCATTTAAAACCATACCTGGATACAGCTTTGGGGCGCCTACCTAACAGCCGCCTTCCGAACGCACCAGGTCCGCTAGCTTCCAGATCTACTCACACTGTTGTAACCTCATCTTCCAAGGTACGGCAGTAGTAATGTTGCTACCTATGGTTGACCGGTTTCGAACACCCTCAGAAGAATTGTTGTATTCACTGCCAAGTCATCGTCTGCGGAACGTAGATCATCCGAGGGTGATACTTCTCTGTCCCACGACATGCCTTCTAGGTTCGGTTCCGCTCCAAGGGTGCAATAAATGCGAGTACGAGGATATACGTATGCGGACAAGATTATGTTACCCCACGTTCATTTCTCAGGTACGTACCCTGGATACCCGGCGTAGTAGGCCGAGCACATCGCGGCCTACACCAGCCTTCCAGAAAGTACCAGTGCGTTCATCGGTAGTAGCGGTGTTTACGGCACGTCTTGGGGAAGACGGCATTACTCAGAAGCTCATTGTATTAGATTGCCAGTATTGCCGACGACGATGATCACCGTTGGGAGCGACTTTTCAACGGGCGCAATCGCTACTACATAGCAGGTACATATGTTGTCGCCCCCATGATCACCACCGACCGACAACTTGAAAGCTTGACCGCCAGTCAAACAGGTTCGGTAGGCGGGCACGTAGTACGCGCAAGACTACTATATCAAGCTGTAGCAAAGAGCAAAGAGTTAGTGCATCAGTGCGAGTGCCAACATGGTTGCAGATGTCCTGCATCTACGTTCAGTAGGTCCGGGTACTAGTCGCGTTCAGATCAATTGACATCTCGACCTAGGTTCGACAAAGACCCCTCACGTGGATGTCTTGGTATGAGGATTACCACGTCCCGTCATGCAAAACCAGTGCTTCATCATACGTTCAAATCTTCACACCGTGACGACACTGGCTGGAGGGTCCCTGGGAAACGAAACACCGAGTCCACAGCTTCGTTCGTGCCATACATGCCATAGTAACAAGGTATGGACTGTGGAACCTATGCTGCATCTTCGCATCCTCGAGATGGATGGTTCGCTCTATGATGACATACACACCGATGTCGTAGCCAAGGTATCCCGCTCACCCGCTCCTGTTCGGGGCTCCGCTGGCAGCAATAAGACTGACTACATACAGACCCTGCGTCATGTGTAACTCATGTAAGTTCACGCTCCATGACTCGTCTAAAGTCAGATGTGCTCCACTTGCATTCGCAAATCAGTCCGTCGAGGATGAACGTGAACCGAACGCCCACGGACACTAAGTTAGTACTCTGAATATGTCCAAACCGCCCTAGACATCTCGTCATAAGTAACTTATGTTATGCACCCTCACCGAAATTCCCAGCGTTACTCATCACGATTATCCACCGCCCCGAGTGTGTAACCGCCCATACGGTATGGGCCTCGCTTACCCCGGTTCCTGACGCTAGGCGAGCATATGGGTGGGACGAGCACATCAGAACGGCGTCCACTTTCGTTGAAATGCGTCCGTCTTCCACACATCTGAGCGCTTTCTAGTAAATTGTGCGCGCTCGAGGGGACTGGGCACATCTCGGAGATGCGTCTATACCTGGACTCAAAGGCCGGAAGGGGACTATCCCCACTGCCTGGCTGCGGGTCAGGCTCAAAAATTTGCCGATTGTCTCCCACCAGCTTGGCAATATGAGTGCCTCAGTGACTGGCTCAGGCTCGGTACTGTACAATAGCTATAGTACATGGGCGATGGGCAGATTTTGAGCCTTCGCCCGTAGGCAATTCGTTGTATATGAACTAGTTTTCTGGTAGCTAAGGACTACGTCGCATCTCGGCTGTCACGTACGATGGTAGTCGTATGTGTGCTGCAACGCTCCACTGGCAAGCTTCAAAGCTTCACTGAGTTGAATACTCGAGGCGCTACGCTAACTGTCCAGGCCTAGGCCTACGCACCGGCGTACCTCAAGGCTCGAAGCGAGATTGATCGTTACACGAACACAATCGGACATCCACCACTACTCCAGCGCAAAGCGTCGCAAGAGGTCGCAAGTGACGCCAATGGCACCTAATACGACACCATAAACAACAACAGACTCTATTTACCAACAATACCACTCGAATAACAACTGTAGCAAGAACGGTTCGCAAGCGAAGCGAACAAGAAATCGGTCTTGTATGCACCGCATGAATTGACGATCGTGATAAATAACGAATGGACAGGCCCTGCCCCGAGCACAAGGAACCCAAAACGTCGTACATACCCCAACGGCATGGACAACAGGAGATATGTAATAGACAACAGACATACGAGGAGGAGGTTACGAGACACGAGCGAGGATGCGGGGAGTTTACTGAAGCCAGCGGCATCGTCACACGACGAGCGCGCTGGCTGCTACACTAGTATGACAGTCTAGGTGCGCAAGGAGAGAAGAGAGGAGAGGAGAGTCCGTGTCTGGCCGCGTATGCAGACGTGTAAGTAGGTACGAGCGGTAGAGTAGCAACGGCAAGGAAAAAGTCCGAATTTCGTTTCGCCTCGCGATCGTCGATGTCCGTGGCGATGTATAGCAGTAGGCCCCCGCAGGGTATACACACAAGTTGGCGAACAATGAGACAGATGTTGGATGCTGGGAGCGGAAGCATGGTGATGTTCGAGAGCAATGGTAGAGCAAGCGGAGAGGATTCGAGAGGGCCCGTAAACACAATCAGCACAGCTTCGACATCTTGACCGATTTGCTAGGACACAACGTCAGCATCGATTATCATAGGCAAGCGCACGTAACACTCACATCCTGAAGGACCGGTCGTCGGTGCTCGACGGCCAAGTGCCCGACCATGTCGCCTGCGCCTCCGCGAACTCGCGCATAGCCGAGTCCGAGCCATCATACCACGGCTTGCCACCGACGTTGTCAGGGAACCACCCGCTCGTACCTCCAGCGGCCAAGTCAATAAGCAGGTAGAACTCCTGGTCGAACGGCGCATTCGGGCCTCCGCCTGCCTGCTCCCATATGTTAGAGACGACGGCCTCACTAGAGCCGTTCTGCGTGGTGCTGGGGTAACCACCGCGGTTGAAGAAGCTCTTGCCGCTCTTGCCCTGGAGCTTGACCGTGAGCATGGCGTCGAGGCGCGTGTCGACGTAGAGCCGCATGAAGTCCTCCGTCCACTCGAGTGTGTACGTGTGGAAGTCGTCGGCGAACGTAGACTGCTTCTCGCTCCACCATCCGTACAGCGTGGTGTACAACGCTGCCAGCGGGCCGTAGTTCAGCGACGAGCGCACGTAGTTCACTCCCTGGCCGGCATAGGACGCTGCATTGCCACGAGCCTCCATGATCTACGACGTTTGGAAGTCAGTACTGGTCGTGGGACAAGTCCCCAGCATGTCTACGTACATCGATCTCGCCAGACATCGGCCACTGTCCGTACACGTCGGTGCTGTTGGGCAGCATCCAGATGGCAGGCCAAAGCCAGTCACCCTGAGGAAGTTTGGCCACGACCTCGACCTTGCCATACTTGAGCTGGTAGTGGCCCTTCGTGTTGATACGAGCCGAGGTGACGGGGTTGATGACGGTACCGGTGTCGTTGGACGACTTGATCGAACACGCAGTCTGCGAAGAGAGTATGTCAACGTACTGGCACACGCGAGAGTGGTAAAAAGTGTACGGACCGTGTTATCTGTCGAGCAACTGTCACCCAAATCGAATGAACCGCCGTCGAAGATCGCCGGATAGCCACCGTCGAGATTGTCGCTGGTGAGCGTCGGGGTGATGTATAGTTGGCCATTCGTGACGTGCAAGTTCGTAGAGTCGTCAGTCGTGATTTGGAACTCGCCATTGCTGCCAGAAATAATATCGTCAGCATGATGCGGACGAGTTCAACGCAAGGCAGATCTTATGACCAGTATGCCATCCGCGAAATGAGGAAGATTCAACGCCCCAAAGGCTGGTGAGCAAAGTATGGACATTCCTGTGCCCACCCGAGTGCACGCTCACAAACCCCGTCTAGTGACAAGATTCAAACCAGGCAGAGAGGCCTGATGTGGATTCCATCCGGACCATGACCTGGATGTACACCGGTTTCGTCCGATAGCAACCCAAATTTGTCGCATACCAGCGGCTGCCTAAAAAAGCAATCGTACGCCCACTGCAGCGGCTCGTCGCGAACGCATCCTGCTCCCGCCACCCACACACTGGACTGTATGCGCTCCGACAACCCCACCCGACTATATGCGTCCCAACAAAGGCCCACACCAGGCTCTATGCCCTCGATGCGGAACCGCACTCGACTATATGCGTCCAAAAAGCGACTACTCACCCGAAACCACCCAGCTCGTTATCCGTGTTCCAATTGTTCGTCGTATCCAGGCCACCACTGAAGTCGTCGTAGAAGTACGAGCACACCTGGCTATCCGCGAGGAAGTACGTGTCGACCCAGGTGAAGTAGCACAGGACCGCCGCGCCCGCAATGCCCGCGAAGACACCGGCGAGGGTCAGCCAGTAGCTCGCGCGCGACCTGCTGTCCTTCTGCAACAACCACGGTTTGTCCTCCTTCGTCAGCTTCTGCGAGATCCTGAGGAGAATGAGTATGGGCGATGGACAAAGGTGAGTGTCGCTCACTTCGACGATGGCATTATTGGCTTGCTCTTGCGGAGCTGCGCTTGGATGTCGGCGTAGCTGGAGTACTGGCCCAAAATACCACTGCCCGCGTAGCCGCCCAAAGCCGTGCTGCTCCCACTACCAGGCGGGTACGCATACGGGAAGCTCGGAGGTGCCCATAGGCTGCTCGTCGGACGGCTTGCAGGGCTGAGGAACGGCGCGCGCATGCTGATCTGCTGCCCGCTGCCGGTCCGTGGAAGCCCATGGCCGTTGTCGCTGCCTATTTCAGATGAATAATACAAAGAGTCAGCTTACTTTTGGGTCGACTGCGAGTAGCAGTAGGGGGAACAGCGGCTACTGACCGTATTCGCCCTTGCCTGATACGGCCGCGGCGGCAGAGTTGCGATAGAGCTGACTGCCGGCACTGGATGGCGTCTGCGCGCGCTCGGGGACGTCGCCCATGAAAGGAGCGAAGGGACGACCGAGGTCCTCACTCTCCTCAACGAGGCCGTAGCCGCCCGGGGCAGCGCCAGTGGGGTAGGCGGTGCCGCTTCCGGGCGGGGAAAGTGGGTGGTTGTTGAGATTGGCAGGAGTGTGTAGGATCTGGCCGTTCTGCGCGAGGGCAGCGAGAGAGTCTAGCGACTCACGCCGCCCAATGCCGGGAATGACGGTGCCGGGGTCGGGGTTGCCTGCATGGCTTTGGAAGGGGAAGGAGGGGAACGCCGAAGGGGGCGAGCGGTTGATCTTCTCGGGCACGGCTGGTGCACCTTGTGCGCCGTAGAAGGAGTTGCGCGGGGTGTCGTTCGGTGTGCCAAAGGGGTTGCTGATACCGAACGACGAGTGGCCCTGCGACGATGGCGACTGGGGCTCCTCCTCGCCTGCAGACCCGGCATAGGCGTACTCGTTGGCCATGCTTGAGCGTCGGCGGTGGTTGCGGGCACGGGTCTGGGGGGCGACGGCGGGAGAGCGACCAGCTTGTTGACTGTTGCTATTGCTGCGGACACGATCGTGACCGCGGACGGGAACACGTCCTGCATTTGTACCAGCCGGTGGGCGCGCGGACTGCGAAGCCCCGGCGCCTACCCCGGCCAGGCCTGCCGCGGGGACATCAGAGTCGCTGTTGCCTTCGGCTTCGCTAGCCCCGCTTGATGCGGACCACGACCGTCGGTCGCCGGCGAGGAACCCGGGGCGTGGGGGGCTAAGCGGCTCGCCGCCCTGTTCTTGGGAATCGCGGCGCGGGCGAGAGCGAGAGCCTGCGCGGGTGCGCACGAACACATTCGCGACTGGTGCTGGCGATGTGGCCTGGGACGTGAGGTGGTCTTCTTCCGAGGACGATGCGGCGCCATTGCTGTTCACGGCGCGTGCATGTTGGAGGGACGGAGAGGTGCTGGGGACGGCGCGATAGGCGTCCGCGCTCGAGTAGCCGGAGGCCGCATTGTCCCGTCTGCGGTAGGCGGACATGGTGGCTGGGAGAAAGAAAGAGTGTGAGTGCAAGTTGGGTGGTCTAAGTCTGCGGACGCAGGGCGGGAGCGGGACGACTCACAGGCCTTTGCGGAGGATATGGACGCGAAAAGCGACGAGCGAGGATGTCGACTTGAGCGAGGCGCTGCTGCCCAGGCCTCCATCAATTCTCCCGCTCCATCGACTCGCACGCCCGCTATCTGGGGTCCCGCTGTACCGCCGGCTCCTCGGCCCAAGTGGCGTGTCACTCACAACAGAAATCGCAGTTTCAAGCCCAGTTCAAGCAAGCTGGAGGTCTTCACTGTACTTCACACGTCTCATTGACTCTAACACCTGCTGAGAATCAGTATGAATGCCCTCAGTCTCGACAAAGAATACACTCAGGTGGAGATCGAGCGCAACCACCGGAAGAGACCGATTCTGAACTTCGACTGAGTATCCCACGCCATCCAGTCGAGCCCGATCAGCTCGATTAAACATCTTCCTTTTGCGGCATCCAACCGGTGTCCATAGCGTATTCCCCATCGACTGGTCATTCTGCCACTTCGTCGGTGTGCTTTGCCACTACTTTGCAGGCTCTGCGTCGCGCTCAGCACTCGACGAATGTAACTTATAAGACTGCAGTCACACGGACCCTAATCATCGCTTCCTCGATATGTGCGGTTCCGGCCTATCTTACAGCCCCCGGACCTTTCTTGCAGGCTGCTCCGCACGCTGTCGCCACTGGCGAAAAGGGCTCCTGCCCGACACCACGTTGCCCGAGTTCAAATTATGCTCTCGCCCTCGCCTCCGCCTTGCTGCCCTTAGTCTCCATTCCCCGCTCGCCGTCGTAGTCGTCGGCCACGGCGACGTGCTTGCTCGTGCGGTTTCGCCTGCTGCATGCGATTCGCACGCGTTGCTTGTGCAGCTGTCCAATCTGGGCCAGACGCGCCCGTATCAGCCCGCTGCGTCCAATTTGGGAGTGACGTCAATTATGAATCGGACACCGAGGTACGCGAGGGACTTCCGGGGTCCCTACGTAAATAGCCTTTCTCGCGTGGGCGTCGCTATGCGCCCGATCCCGATTTAGCGTGTTTTCGGGAGCGCGTCGCGGGTGCAATGACCTCTGCGATGACGTCGACGCTGTTGCATACTTCCATCAGTACAGTGTCGGTCTCGCCACACACATCCGGCGACACCAAGACGACAGTACCTGTCCCTCGCGATACGGTGCAAAAATGAGAATATTTGCGGCACGGTGTCAGACCGCAGACATTTGATATATCTTCTTTAGTCACTGATCGGCATGTACCATCTTGTTATCTCCATCAATAGAGGCGCGCGCTAACAACTCGTCTCTGGCAAGGCGACTTATCGCCGCGCCTCCCCAGCCATACCGTCCTCATCCGCGATAGTATTGTGCTAGTGTCGTGGACTTGTCCATCATACACTACGCTGGTTGAACGTTGAGTTCGCCACTTCACTATCAAGTAAACGCGTTCGTCGCCGGTCCGTCGCGTCTTCACAGATGTGGCGCCAAACAGAGACAGATTCTCCGATTCTCACCCAGCCTCGTGATTGCAATCAATAACAAGAGTCTGGCGACCCAAAAGCGGATTTGCGGGCAGCAACACGCCGGGCTGGGCCTGGCTGCCATGGTACCCGCGCCGCTCCCATGCTGGCGCACCAGTTGCGCACTTGGTCACTCTGCCCCACCAATAAGGCGGTCGCCAATAATATTTAGGAGCAGTCAACGGCACAGGTTGTGCCGGGGCCGGGGTCGGAGGCGGGCCAGGCCTGGGGACCTGGGGAGGGTGGAGGTGGAGCGCCGTCGATCGATCGAGGAACACCGTGGCGCATCACTGGGGGGAGGAGGGTTTCTGCGGAAGGACAACTAATTCAAGCTTAAGACTGCCATGTTCCATCGACCTAGGTTCGCGGTTTCTGCAGTGCAGAACAGCCAGATTCGAGAGTCATATACGGCGGCATATGAAGGATCTGAACTCCTTCACGCACAGCAAGTCACACTGTGGATCGAGCAACGGTCGATTTAATTGTTGAATTGCTTATCATGTAGCGGTGGTCCAGATCAAACATATCAACTATCAAAGAGGAGGCCGAGCCTGAGAGCCCAATCAATGCCGTTCTCATGTCGCGAATGGCCGCATCTGCGACGAGCACAGGGACCTACCGCGACGGCAACATACTCCCCCGGTGTCAAACAAATCCGCAACAGCAGACAAGGTAGCCAGGGGATAGCGAACCGTACCATGCCATTCTGGACTGCACCAGCGCAGGCACGCGGTGTCAAACGAACCGGGCCTAACGTTCTCACCTCTACACCTACACACATACATTGCTCAAGCCAGTCATCTTCGCGCACCGGCCGCGGGCGCATCCCCCGACTTCCACGCTATGACGTCTTCCAGCTCACTTCGCCAGTCCCGGGAGTACTAACCGGCTCGACACCAAGTCTTGGTGGTTCCCAGCAGGAGCACAAGATAGGGTTGACATCGAGCTGGTTCACGAGGATCTGCAAGTGTGAAAGGTGAGTCGTCGATCGGCTTCTGCCAGTGCCCTCGATCGGTGAACGAACTAACAGCTAGTCGTGGCCTCAGGATGCTCAGGCAGTCGGAATCCTGCCGGTAGGCCTCGGGGCCGCTCGCGTGAAGGAGGGACAGACATGTATGCTCCAGAGCAGTGAGGGCGTAAAAGGTATGTTCACGAGCAGGCTGGCGTGCGCCGTGTATATGTCGCCAGTTGTCGATCATGAACGTTCTGCATGAACTGTGAATTTTGAAGGTGATCGCGCACTGTCCGACTCGAGTCACGATTCCCGTACTGCAAAGGTATGTTTGCACGGCACGCGGCAGCACACTTGAAAGGCTAACTACTAGCCGAGGTCCTCTGTTCGAGGCTGTGCACACGGCAGGTGCCAGGGTACGCACGTAGGCGTTGCGCGTCCGCGTGGCTGTTCCGCCGTGCACATACCACGGCTTGGCTTTCGACCGTTCATTAAACTTGAAGGCGGGTGCGATATCCGTGCGGGTCCAGGTCGCTCGTGCGACTGTAAATGGGAAGCTGCCCTTTGGGGAGCTATGTTAATTTCCGCTCTTCACGAACTCTGTGCGCATTCCATTCTGGAGGGTCGCGGTGTTCTGTCAGCCCCTGTCGGGCCATTCATTTCCACCTTCGTACGTATGTCGAACGCAATAGACTACATTCTAGGGAGGTTGATCGACAGCCGTTACTCACATACAGCATTCGCCAGCGGACCAGTATGTAATGCATTGCGTTACTGATCTTTCATTACGGCGCGCCTGACGTAAGCGGCCCGGAGGAGAATGAGTGGAACAATTGCAAGATGAATTGCGGTTCCTCAAGCTCAAGCTCGCCGCTGCGAAACGCAAAAGTTCCTCCACCAGAAGATCCAAACAGTCGTTTCCAGACCAGAACATCCTCGACGGATCCCCGTAGTTCGAATGTCGTGCACACCGCATCTCGCGCCGTGTCTGGTCCAGAGCGGCGAGGCGCAGCCCGCTGAGTGCAAGTCCAGACGCCATCCATGCGATCTCATCTTGCGGAGATCAAGCTGATCGGTGATCACCATCACTTCGGCCAGGCCGCCGAGGCGTGTGTCCGTCCGTGATCCCAACGCCGCTGCGGTGCTTCCTCGGTCCCGTACCGTTGCTCGCCACCGGGCAGTGCGGGCGGTCGCCGGGGTCTCGGGCGCCTGCATTGCCTGAACGGGCGCGAGTGCCTGCTGCGAAAAACGTCCGAGCCCGGGAGGAGATGACGTCCAACGTGACGAAGGCGCAGGGGCTGGTTTCTGCCGGGCGTGGTGCGCTCGTGGGCGGTGGCTGGAATGGGGATGCAGGGTCGTGTGTGGTTTCCGGGACACGAGGATTGGAGGATGGAGGAGTGCTTACGGGGGCCCGAGAGGTGTCGCTCGATGGAGGAATTGAAGCGCTGAGGCGAACAAGGTCAATTCACACCGTGACAAGGTGTGGCGCGTCTTTGCGAAGATTTCCTTCTGAGCCGGCCAGTGGCTGTACGTATCTTGGAATGGGACCCTGTTCGGGTTGGAAAGAATGCAAGAGCCAAGGCGAGTTCGCACTCTGGAATGTACTGTACATGGTTGCGAACCGGTGGAAGGACATTGACGTTGTCGACGTGCGCTTCGGACCAGCTTCGAAGTTCGAAGCGGGCATATTAAGATAGAGCTTAGCACAGCTAGAGCGTTTCCTGTAAGTTGTCTATCGTGCGGGCGTGGGTACGGTTACATACAGAGCCTGCTTGGCGTGCAGATAGAGTGGAGGTAGCCTTTGAGGATCGCGAAGTAGCACCTCACACGACCTGAGGCAGTATACAACCTGCGATAGACCAACACAGGCAATGCATCCCGCACATGGAGGCCGAGCTACGTCGGCGACAGTCGCACGGCGGACCCGTACCTGAATGTGGCTGCCAGTACGTGACGGATTTCGCATCGTATCCGAGCGACGAGGTGATGTGAGAAATAAATTACGGGAGGCGAGATAGAGAGGCTGCGCAATGCTGCGAATCTTCCAAGGCAACAACTTTCGATGGTTAAGCCCTGCTCGTCTGCTCATGCGGCCGGCGGTTGCCGTCCGCCCGTCGCTCGCCGTCCGCCTCGCCGACGTCTGCAGGCGGGGCGGCTCGGACGGAGGGCGGGCGCGGGGCTGTGGCACGGCGCCTCGACCCGGCATAGGCCGGCTAGCGGACGATAAGGGCGGCCTGGTGGCCGGCGGGCGGCGTCTCCGGCCCAAAAATAGGAAAGACCAATGGGGGCGCCTGAAGGGTCCGAGATTGGCGCCTGGAAATAAGGGAAGGGTGACATGCGGGAGAGCCCCACCGACCGTTCGCCGGACGTGCGAACACCTGCCTTTCTTTCCTTTCATTCGCTTGCTCTTCTCCTCCGCCGTCGTCTCCCCTCTCCCCGCCCTCGCGCCCGGCGACCCGCCCTCTTTATCCGACCTCGTCGTTAGCCTGTACCATCGCTTCGCAGCCCGCCGCGATGGATTACGACCGCTACGACGCCTTCCTCCACCACATCTTCAAGCAAACTCAGGGCGACGCGTGGTTCCGCCCCAACGAGGACAACCTCTCCGCCGGTGTCGCGCTCCGTGTCGACAATGGCCCCGAATTCCGTGTCTTCCCTTATGAGAACCTCGCTCTCGAGCCGTTCGAGGCAGCGGTCTCTGCGCTGAACCCGGCCGTCGCCATCAAGGTCCGCAGCGCATCCGTGCACGCAGCTTTGGCAGAAGTGTGAGCAGCTCATTCGCGCCTTCCGTGCTTGCGTGGCGAGGTCGGTGTGCAGCGGGTGCATGCTTGCAAGACTTATCGTGCCGATGCCTACGCGCCAACCCGCCGCAGCATGAGCGCCCTCGTGGTGTTGAGCAGTCGCACTAACCGTATCTTTGTCCTATAGTGGCCCCGATGACAGGTCAATCTACGTCGACGCAAATACGCGTATTCAAATCATTGAGACGATGATGGACCTCCCCACGGCGGACAAGGAGCAGAACGCGGCCTTCGTGGTGAGTCTCATCAGGCCTAGCTCTCCGTATCCTCTTTCTCCGTTTCCTCTTCTTTCTTTTTTCCCTCTTCTTTCTCCTCGTGCTTCTTGCATGCATATATGCGCGTTTTATTCGTGCTGCATCAGTGTAGGATGGAAAACGACGCTCCCCGTCAAATAGAGTTCGATGGGTACATGGAAACAGCCGCATCCGCTGTACTTGCCTTGCCACAGGCTCTTCTACATGCGGATGGTGTCGCTAGTTGTCAGGTGCACAGATGGGTGCCTGTCATTCCGTCTCTTGCAGCTAAATCCACGTTGTTGGGCCCTGCACAAAATTTGTGCGTATACGAGCGGAGGTCGTCGGACGTTGTTATACAATGATCCCGACACTGCCGCTCAACCTGGGCTACGTAGCCAAGGTCCATATCAAAGCTGTACAAGTGCGTTTGAAAGGCGTGGGGCCCGACGATACAGAGTTAGCTGTGATGACGAGTAAGTGGAGCTTATGGGCCAACACTCTGTCTATGGCTTGACCGAGGACGACGCGTCGCTCACTGTCGTGGGGCGTTTTGGTGGTGACCGCGACGCGGATGTGATCGCTGCTACGATCGTCGATCATGGGGGCCGGGGTGTATACCCAAAACGGCCGGAGCCGCCCTGCGGACTTCTATCCTCCGGACGTGCAAGCTTGGTTAAGCTGTGCTATGCTGCCTGGTGGAGGGACTCTAACTGTCCACCGCATTCTCCGGTGCATAGCGTGTATGTGCACCTTCTGTCGTCGGGTGTTCAGATAGGGCGCTTTTGTGGGAGCTTCCAGGAGGATGAGATGAAGGAGCCAAGTCCTCTATCGAGATGATGGCCCGGATGAAATGCCGAACGCGGCATTTCCTCAGACCAGGCTGCATGCTAGTGCGGTGTGGAGAGCTTGTTTATAGCGACCAGTTCCCGGCTCAGGTCAAGGATGGACCAGCCGTTTTCATTTCCATCTTACTATGCGTTCGTCGCCCAATTCCGTTTGATTCGGACTCGAATCTTCGATACTCATCTCCTTCGTGACTGTCTGCCTGATTCGCTTCTGTTTGCTTGGACCGCATATCTGGGACGGAGGCTTACCAGTGTTTTGTCCTCAGCGTGACGAGCGTGTCCTTGTCGTTTGGTCAGACTCGATCGACGACATTATCCCGACATGCCACGATTTCGAGGAACGCCTTATCAAGCTGCTCTGGCGATCAAGACCAAACGCAGTGGGCAGCCACGGCGCGAGCTCAAGCAGTCACCCTGCGAGCATCAGTGGTGAGTGAAAACCCCCTTTACCACGTGAGAGCTAGTTAGTTCCCGTAGGATGGTGTCTCGTGCATCTCTCTTCAGGACATTTGGTAGGTAGTAGTTGCTTTCTTTCCTTTGATGAAGTGCTACTGTACTTTGGAGGGCCCGTTCTCCTTCGTGGGCCCTTCTTGCGTATCTTCGTGGCTGGGTTGGTTCGGTGCCGGTGCTGATATCGTTTCTTTGATATAGGTTCCGGATCTGGTAACTCACTCTACCGTTCAGGTCGATCAAGCAGTCAACTGCCACCAGCACCGGGCACACCGGGCGTCCCCGGCACCCCTCGCGGCATGGGCCGCATGAGCCTGCTCATGGGCAAGGACGACATCGAGAAAGGGGCTGGCGTCGAGGAGACTGTTGTCAAGACGAAGACCATACGGACATGGTACGGCAAGAAGAAGACGATCATCATCGAGGGCCCCGACATGAGCGAGTTGGACAACGCGCTCCCCCAGAAGCGACCCGCGTTGTTGTATGCGCCTATTTACAATGGGCTTGCAGCGGGTCTCTCTGTCTGTGAGTGGACGCTTTGTGGATTTGTTTGGGAGGCTAATGGCGCGTGCACAGACTTCATCGGCAACGGTTTCAAGACGCTGCTCGCCGAGTGGCGGCTCGACAACAACTTCGTTCGGTTTGCACTCGTGGCGACGATGCCATTCCTGTACTGCGTCTCGCTCTTCTTCGCCCTCCAGATCATCCAGAACGTGTCCATGGCCATCGGTCCCATCGCGCAGTACCACGAAAACTCAAAGTACTATTCCGCCATCAAGCCCCGGCCGAACAAGATCGTGGATAACGACCTGCCGCACATCACGATTCAGATGCCGGTGTACAAGGAGTCTCTGGAAACCGTCTTGTGAGTTCCCATTTGGGCTTATGAGCTGTGCGAGTGTTGACCGGAGATGTCAGGGCGCCATCTATCGAGTCAATCAAAAAGGCGATGCAGACGTATGCCCGGCAAGGTGGTACGTCCACGATATTCGTCAACGACGATGGTCTCAGGGTGAGTTCCGACGTACGCTTGCTGTGCGGGTCGCTGATGCGTGCGTGACAGTTGCTCTCGGTCGAGGAGCGTGACACACGCATAGCGTTCTACGCCAACCACGGCATTGGCTGGGTCGCGCGGCCGAAGCACGATGATGCGCCGGACGGGTTCCAGCGTGCGGGTCGGTTCAAGAAGGCCTCGAACATGAACTACGGTTTGAGGCTCTCGCTGATCGCCGAGACGCACCTCGAGAAGCTGCTCGCGGAGGAGAAGGAGCGCGGCCCCCGGAAGAGCGACTCACTCGGACCTGACGCGGAGCAGCGCTACGGCATGCAGTACCAGCACCGGGACGGCGGCAACGCCAGCGTCGTCGGCTTCGGCGGCGAGGACGACGAGAAGGTGAACTCGGAAGACTGGGAGCTCGAGGAGCGCGCGCTGCAATTGGCCATCGACGAGGTGTACGAGTCGAGCGGCCGCAAGTTCCGCCCCTGGGCCGCCAACGGACGTGCGTGCCGTGTGGGCGAGATCATCCTGATCGTCGACTCGGACACCATCGTGCCGGAGGACTGCTTCCGGGACGCGGCGCGCGAGATGGCGGAGTGCCCCGATGTCGGCGTCATCCAGCACGAGTCGGACGTCATGCAGGTCGCGCATCACTACTTCGAGAACGGCATCGCGTACTTCACCCGGCGTATCAACAAATGTATCTCGTACGCGTGCGCGAACGGCGAGGTCGCGCCGTTCGTCGGGCACAACGCGTTCCTCCGCTGGAGGGCCGTCCAGGACGCCGCGTTCATCGACCGCGCGGACGGCCAGGAGAAGATCTGGTCCGAGAGCAACGTGTCGGAGGACTTCGACATGGCGATGCGGCTCCAGAAGCGCGGGTTCATCATCCGGTGGGCGACGTACTCACTCGGCGGCTTCAAGGAGGGTGTGTCTCTGACGTGCGACGACGAGCTGAACCGGTGGCAGAAGTACGCGTACGGCTGTAACGAACTGCTGTTCAACCCGATCGCTCAGTGGTGGCGCAAGGGCCCGATCGCGAGGGAGATCCACTCGTTCCTCTGGTCGTCCGCGCCTTTGCACTACAAGTTCTCGATGATGTCGTACATGTTCTCGTACTACGGTATCGCGTGTTCGATCACGATCGGTGTCATCAACTACATCCTCCTCGGCTTCGAGCTTCCCGTCGACGGCTACTACATGCACTCGTTCGAGATTTGGCTGGCGACGACGGTCGTGTTCATCGGCTCCGGGAACGTCGGCTACACCCTGCTCCAGTACCGTCTCGGCGAGGAGCCGCTGATCAAGTCCTTCCTCATCAACGTTATGTGGATTCCATACTTGTGAGTCCATCGCGGATGGTTGTGTCGCGGCTGAGGACTGACGTATTGCGCAGCTTCTTCTTCTTCGGTGGTCTGTCGATCCCCGTCAGCCAGGCGATTCTCGCCCACCTGTTCTCATACAACATCTCGTGGGGTGCGACGAAGAAGGAGGTCGAGCGGTCGAACTTCTTCGAGGAGATCCCGAAGATCCTCAAGAGGTTCTGGGTGCCGTGGCTGATTTGCATTCTGCTCACGGCGGCCCTGATCATCCTGTCGACGTCATTAGTGCCCGTGCAATGGCGCATCGACGGGTCAGCATGGGCCGTCATCTTCCCGTTGTCGATCCAGATCGGATGCCACTTGCTGTACCCGGTGAGTCGCTGTTGCCCTGCCAGCTTGCGTGCGATGCTCATTGCGTTTCTGCAGGTCGTGCTGAACCCGTGGCTGATGGTGTTCTCGTACTGATGGTCTGTATACACGCTCACGTCCCCTCATGCCTCCGCCTGTGCTCTCGCGACGCTTTTCGCTGTTCGATATACCACCGGCCATGATACCGCGTTGGACACGGACACTTGCCTGACATCGTGGCTTATCGTCCCCGCTCGTTTTGTGTACGTTGATGTCGTACCGTCCGCTCTTTTGCTCGTCTCGGTCGTGTGTCCGCGTTCGCATCGCAGACCACGGTGCTCGCTCTCGCCAGTTTGTTGTCTGCAGTACAGTGTTTGTCTCCGCATCAATTGCTTATTATCTAGCACATTTTAGTGCACCCTCGGCATATTGTCTCGAGTAGTGCGTTTACAAGTCGTGTACTTAACGGACTAAATCTCTTGTCTCTCGTCCCCTTCTCGATACATGCACGAATAGACTGTCTCAGCTATCTAGCTGCAACTACTCCGTCAGTAGCTCATAATCGATCCGATGTGACATCTTGGAGGGAGCCTGAGCAGTATGTAATCTCCTGTATTCACTGTTACTTATGCAGATCCCAACCACGTCCCAAGGGCGGCCGTGTGTAGGGCGGCATGATGCATAAGGTCTTGAGGTCGCAGACTCGCAGTAAGTAGCAAACCCCACTATTAAATCACGACAGGGTATATGAATATTAAATGGTGAATAACTAAGGATGACCAGACAGTTCGATATCACTGCTGTTCGGTGCGAATTTAATTGAGGCATTGGATTCGTACTCGTTGTCGCGCTGAACTATACGTGTGATGTTCACCGCGACCCTGCTTGGTGGTCCGTAAGAGTTCTGTCTGCTATCTCGCGTGGCGACCAAGTCCACGGATCCGTCGTGGCTACTCTGCGCTCGCTGTTCCCATCCCAAACCCACCCGGACGTGAATGAGCATGAACGTAATGCCGGCTATCACGCAGTACGTCTCGCTGGCGAAGTACTGCAGATTGGACCGAACACGATAGGTTATGAAGAAGAGGATTGTCCAGACGCTACGGCCGGCGGTTGATCAATGTTCTGTATGAGAGGTGTGCATGAAGTACGCACGTATAGAGAGCGGCACTCTCTATCAGTATTCCAACGACGCCCTGTGACATGCCAGTTTGAGTGTGAACATGGTGGTGCATATGGCCGACGCCCTACGCACCATGAGACTGGAGCCACCGAATTTCCTCACTCGGCTATTGGCGTCCAAGATACGCCAAGCAATTGTAGCTGAAGAGAGGTGTCTTCAATTCGCGAGAATTCAGCTGGAGGAAATGGCAAGGAACTTCACCTGTGCTGTACACATTCGTACTGAACAAAACCTTGTTACATGAAATTGGTTTCGATACATAAAGCGCAAACATACCATAATGTGAAGACACAGTTCGCTGTGATCCAGCGACCAGTCGCCGTCGCGAAGATATTCTCACCAGGCTTCGACATAGCAGACCGATAAATTGACCCGACGGCGCAGACTGGCATGGAACATCAATACGGATAGCACGAGAGTCAAAACTGACGAGCGCACCTACTAACCCAATAAGTGTGGAGATCGGAAAGACAGTGACGGGGAAGTAGTATGCCCAAACGAGCCAAAGCCGATATATCTGACGTTCGATGTTGGATCAGTAATAGGTTTGGTCATAGAGGAAGATGTCGCATGCTCACGATCATTGCATCACCGATGATTAGTGAGAACATGAGCAATGTATTCTGTGTCACCTCAGTCGGCTGAGATGGGTTGGTGTAGTAGACTATTGCTTGCGTTCCATCTTCGTGGAGCATAAATCCCGCGAAGAGCCTATAGACGGCCACAATCCAGTGCTAAGAAAACCATGCATCATTCATACCAGGTTCTCCAACAGATGAAAGGAGAGCTACCTACGGCTGTGTTGGTGATGAAGAGGAATACCGCGGCCACTGACATCGGCGTCATGTAAGCTGCGCGTCGTTTACCTCTGACATGAAGTGCGGCGTTAACCATGTCCTCCCGCCGACGTGCCAAGATGTACAGCGAGATGACAGAGAGTACGAAGAAGATGCCATACAAGAGACTCTCGATGCAGATCGTCACCAGGATGACGGACAACATTGGTATGCCTGCTGCCATGGCGGGCCGTCAGGAAGGGGTAGGTGCCAGAGCAACTCGCACATAGTGGATGCTGCGCAGACGAGAGCACCCTCATATAGGACGTCCGTACGCGGTCACACGAGAAGCACCGGGGCGCAGATGAGCACACCGCCATCGTTTCCGGAACACCTCAGCAGCGCAGACGTCGCAAGTAGGGCGATACTCCGACAGACCGAAATCTGAATGGGCGGCTGATGCATGTGAGAATCCGCACACTCGACCATATAGCCTAGATGACGTGTTCAAGGTGCAGTTTGGGAGACGTTTCCCAAGTAGGTCTCCTGTGCGACCCATGGAGCAAGACTATCATGATCTCCAATCAGAGTGTACTGCAAGGATATGAGCGCTCTACTCACAACAGTCGCTTCCAAACCGCTCAGATCGAAGCGTAGCAACCAGTGTGCGGTAGCCCTGCGGCGTTCAGAGTTACTGCCTCCGGAGAGAACCCTCGACCAGTGGGAGCGACGCGTTTGGACAGTACGAGGCAAACCTCATGGTCCGTTCACAGGGTGCAGTATCTGCGGAGAAAACGTGGAAAATACGGGTATTTGGGGGTCTATCTGGAGCCCTTCCGTACATCTAGGACATTCTAAAAGACTGCATACGTCCATAAGCAATCTCATGTATTACGTGGCAGATCTCACCGTCCTGAGATCCCATTCCGCATTCGTAGGCCTACACAAGCACCAGAACCGCGAAACGGAACCGAAAGTCGCATGAAATGAATTCGAAAACGGTTATGTCGATCGCTGTAAAGTAGCCGGTCAGTCAGAAGGATTAGGCCTCAGACATGTGCCAATGGATGACAACCCAGTGGAAGTAACCGGTGAGAATAGCACAGTTCGAAATGCCATATGGGGCTCTAACCTGAACGGTGCCAAGGCTCGGGTTCGCGAGCCATAAAGAGATGGAAGTTTGTCAGTGATACCGGGGAGCACTACAGGTAGTATAGCACCCGTGCATTCATACAATATACCAGCCGTTCTGAGTGCAGTCTGGTCGGCCTGTGCGTCCGTGACTACGCACCTGCAGGAAGGGTCAATTTTGCATCTAGTCACTATGCACAAGTACGGAACACCTTTGGATAGCAGCCTGCGCATCTTCGTTGCTTTGAGTGCTGTTATGGCGGGACGCTTAACATTGATACACTGAACACACGAGTAGACATTGAACGCACCAGACCATTCGGCACCTTGACAACGGAAGAGCGACTGCATCCCCCAGCCCTCGTTCTACTAAGACCATGAAACCTGGAAAGCATCTGTTATGAATCCGTCTCCCATGATATGATTCCGGGTACAACTGGGCATATGCGCATCTCAGGCCGAGGTGCAATGACTCAGGCTGATTATCACATCTATTGGACACCGGGTGCATACATCCGATTACAGCTTGGCAAAGGCATCCTCCGCGAAAGGGTAGTCAATATAGCCAACGGGGCCCGGTGCATAATACGTGTCGCGATTACCCTTGTTAAGCGGCAGATTCCTTGCGATGCGAATTGGTAAGTCGGGCTGCACGCCGAGCGTTCTGTCAGCGTTCCTCACTCGTAAGACGTATATGAAAGGCTCACGTTCGAGATGTACAATCTACCGAAGGCGACGAGGTCGTCATTGCGCTCTGCGAAATCAAAGGCACTGTCTCTTGTATGACCACCTGCGCTGATGAATGGGCGGGGCGTCCAGATTGACCGGAGGAAGTCATTTGTCTGTACGTCATGTGCCGGTCAGAGGAAATGCAGCTACATCTTCTCAATTGAACGCACCTCTCCAGGCTGGACTTCGCGCGTTGTCACTCCGTTTACTCGTGGCTCGACCACATGGATGTAGGCGAGGTCGGAGTACTTCTGAGCAAGCTCAGACACAAAATACGCAAAGGTGGGTATCGGATCGTCCATACGCATATCTGGCGGCGGAAAATTCGTTGGCAAGTCTAGTTCGAAGTGATGCATGACTGGAGCTCACCTTGAATGAAGCCCCAAGGGCTCAGGCGGATGGCGGTCTTGTCCGCCCCAATGGCCTTCGCGACGCTCTCAATAACTTCCAGCGGAAAGCGTGAACGGTTCTCGATGGAGCCCCCGTACTCATCTGTCCGCTTGTTACTGGTGTCTTGCAGAAACTGGTCGATGAGATAGCCATTGGCACCATGAAGCTCGACACCGTCGAAGCCAGCGCGAATGGCGTTGACTGCAGCACTTGTATACGCCCCGATGTATTCCTTGATTTCTATGTAAAAGGCCTCAGTCAGACAGACAGAAATAAGTAGCCAGTCATTGACTTACCCTCGATGGTCAACGCCCGCGGTGTTCTATTGCTGCTGGTCAATTTGATATCGGATGCACTGACGTAAGGCAAGCCTTCTGCATCCAGGACTTCAGGGTTTGCGCCACGACCTAACGCCCAAAGCTGGCAGAAAATCCGGGAACCCTTCTCGTGTACGGCGCTTGTAATCTGACATTCATGCGAGTGAGCAGAGTCACTCAGATGACGTATGTACACCAGCTGAACCTACCAGTTTCCATGCATCGACTTGCTCGTCGTTCCAGATGCCAGGTACATTGTTGAATCCACCCGCAGAGGCAGAGATGAACGTGCCTTCTGTGATGAGGAGTGTCCCCGGCACAGTCCCACGTTGAGCGTAATACTCTAGGGCATGCTCGCTCGGTACGTGTTCCTTGTTCGCGCGAAAGCGCGTCAGCGGCGCGAGTACAATACGATGCGACAAAGCGTGTTTGCCGACTACCGTAGGCTGGAAGAGTTTGGGTATGGCTGATGTAGACATGGCGTGAATTCCTCGATGATGATCGATGAGTAGCAGCGACACTTCATATTTATGTGTCCCGGCCAGAATGGTATCTCCGCGCGTACACCGGCTGCTTCGCCCAGAATCTCATGTCCCGACGGAGGATGGCCGGGCTGAGTAATCATCGCATCGCCGACCGCCGCACACCTTATGTCGACATCTATGTCTGCGAACAGGCCGTTCCTTTAGATATGTACCTGCGCCCCGCATGGCTAGCCAGGGACGAGTCTGAGTAAGATTCAGTACCTGACGTTCTTCAAGTTAAGTACTACTTACCAATCAATATCACGGCGTTCGTACTTAGTAATAAAGTTCTTTTCATTGCCTGAGAGAACTTTGTTCGACATCTCCAAGCGACTCAGAAGCCGCAACGTTGAGTTCTTTTTGTCTAAGTCAGCAACGGAATGTAGCAATATCTGTCATCTAGACGCGTCTTGTCATCAGAAGCAAATTGAACTGAACATGAGTTTGTGCATTCCGCAATAGGCGCTCTACAGCACCTTTCCAAATTCTGATCATAGTACACCGCTGTGCGGCCAATACTGACCCGCAGTACCTGGCAATAAGTGGTTGCCTGGGCTTGAAATCGCAAACTCATAGAGCTAAGTAAGACGTGCCACGCAGGAGCACTCTGGGGTGGCTATAGTGGGCGGAGGTGAGCTTTCGAAGTTAAGTGGTGTTGTCTCCGAATATGGCAATGGCATCAAACACGTGCCCTTGAATCTCGGGTTCCCGTTCTCGTTCTCGCTCGGCCCAGCGTAAGTCCATATACGACCGCCCTCCCCACTCAACAAGGTCGTGTTTAGGGTCTGCCTACGGGAGACTAAGCGTAAGTACAGACCGTACCATATTACGGCTTTGAGCTCATAAACGTTGCAGTGCATCCTTGTACAGACTTCACCATGTGCGAGCTCCCCTATCACCGAATTGAAGACGCACAAAATATGCGGCAGACTCCAGAAAAATCTTGGACAAGCTGACCTTCACTTGAAGTTTTGTACACCGAAGCTGAATTCAGACTTCGATCAACACCGTATGCAACCCAAGGCCGATGCGGACTCACTAACATGCATGCAAGCTGTAGGGCTCGAGGAACAATCCAGGCGGAAACTGCGGAAACTCGGGGCAAAGGCCCCGCCTGACGTCAGCGTGAGCTCAGTTTCATCCCAACCGGGTACGTTGACTCATTCTTACTCTTACCAGTGACACCACCACTGAGCTTAAGCAGCCATCGACTGTTGCTGGTAGCCCACAGTGGCAGCTAGAGATGTTCACTTCTCGATATATTGCTCACACCAACAAGCCGCCTTCCGACCTGCGGTCTCTGCATCCAAGATGCACTCAGCACTGGTCTCCTACGTGAGGCGTGTTCACAGGCATTCGGCTACCCGAACTGGTGTATACATCGGTTCTGCAGGCATGTACTTATAAGGATAGAAATCCCGGAGGCCGCCTAACAGACGGTCTGGCATGGACAAGAGCGTGGCAGGATCCGTGCCATCGGACCCGGCGAAATCGACCATCGCTCCCCTTACGTCCCAGCAGTTGACGGTCCCACATTCAGGCTCCCGCGCTTCGTTTCTCGAAACCAGCGTCGGATCAGCAACCCTCATACTGAAGGAGAAGCTCTGGGTTAGCTCTGGTCTGCGCAGGGCCAGCGTCGGCGGGAGCGATCTGCAGAAGATTGACGAGTTGTGGACGCCCTGCGTTCAACTACTCGAAACTGCCCTCCAAGTGTCGGCCAATGAAGAGATGGACGATGACGGTTGCGAAGTCCTGTATGGCCGCGCAGGGCTGCTATACTCCTTGCATTTCCTTCGGACGGAACTCGCGTCTCTTCGCGACGGCGGTGTGTCGATCAGCCAGACCGAGGATCCCGCCATTCGTGCTGTTGCATCGCTCTGCGCCAATGCCAACGTACAAGCGCTCGTTGAGGACATCATGAAGCGAGGCAAAATTGGTGCTCGCGAATACAAAGAGGAGCTTGCAAGTCTCAGAGACGAGCGCGACAAGGTGCCTCCCCTCATGTGGAGATGGCACAGCTCCCGCTACCTTGGAGGCGCGCACGGTGTCGGTTAGTTATGGTGATCAAGTCAGGAGTATTGACACTGACTCGACTTGCCATAGCTGGGATTCTGCATATGCTCGTCCTAACGCCGTCAAGCATCATTCAACCGCACTGGTCGGACATCGTCGAAATGATCGAATGGCTGCTGGCGATCCAGGAGCCGCTTGGGAATTGGCCTTCAAAAGCTGGAAGGCACTTGTATCACGTCGCCGGCGGCACCATGTTCCTCAATCGAACCGCGCAGTCATCCTCACTCACCATCTCATCGTCCCTCCGCGATCGGATCATCGCAGCCTTGCAGCGCGGGGGCGAGCTCGTCTACACTCACGGCCTACTCCGCAAGGGCGTCGGACTCTGCCACGGGGTCGGTGGCAGCGTCTACGCGCACTCGCCGTCTCTGACGCGCTCGACTCGGGGGAGGGCACGTATTGGCTCGTGCGTGCGGTGCACCTCGCGCACCTGGCCACGGAGTACGGCGCGCTGGAACGGAAGGGCGAGATGTATGTGCCCGACGAGCCGTACAGCCTGTATGAAGGCGTCGCGGGGATGTGCTGTGCGTGGGCGGAGGTGCTCGTGAGGCTCGGCGTACCGAGCCGTGGTGTTGAGAAGAGAAAGTCGGGAATGCCCGGTTATGATGACCTGTGAATATGAGACAGTGCAAGACGGACTTGTACAGTACGTGGCGAAATGAGACTGACTTTCGTAGCCTGTGTGTCTGGGACGATTTACTGGCTCATGACTGGAGTTCATCTCGGAATTGTCTGCGCGCCCGAAAGCCTGGCGTCTGTGGGGTGGCCCAAGAAGTAGGATGACGAGGAGGTGAGTACCCTCGCCGCCTGCGGTTCATTTGCGAGATGTTCATGTAAAGCCGGGTGGTAGACGTTTCGTGCGGTGGCGTTTGCGGGGGTCAAAGGTAATCAACCCCTGAGCCGTAAGAGCACGTCCGGGTTCATTTGGCAAGTCATTGTTTTCAAGCCGTCCGTGGCGGTTTGTTTGTCGCCACTCCGGCCGGAACTAGCAGGTTGGTTTGTTTGGTCCCGGTTCGACTCTTTCATAAGTGGCTGCGCCGCCCCTCAGGCCCCTCATAACGCTCTTGCTCTCTCCCTATCACTCACGCGCCTCCTTACTCCTTTCGACGAGCCTTCACCTTACACAACAAGACATCGACATGTTCGCCACCCTCGCCGAGTCACCCCTCAACTTGCCGACTACCAACGGCTCCCGTTTGTCTCCAGCGTCCAGCCGCCGGCCACACGCAACTTTGTCCGGGGCCTTCTCGGCCACGACCTTTTACACGTACGTTGACCGCCCTCCGCCGAACCACGCGATGTTCTGACGCGCCCTTATTTCAGTCTCGATCCCACTGTGCAATCCCGGCGGTATGGCCACGCGAATCGGTTGGCTCAAGGCAGATGGTACGTCTATGGCCGATGGGTTCCAGAGACGCGTATGTTGACCACTCCCATGCGTAGGCAAGACGTGTTTCCGAACTTGGGCTCCCAATGTGGCCCTAAAAGAGAACGACAAAGGTCGCCAGCCCCTGCAGCGTCTGAAGGGGCCAGCAGCTCGAGTTCTGCGACACAGGAGACTGACAAGGTGGCCTCGCCGATAGGGTGAGTGGAAGGCCATAGTGTACCTACGGTCATGGCTGATAATCATTCACGTATTGTTCTAAGGGGTCAAAACGATGCTCGACCATTAGTCTTGTCTCCTCAACAGGTGTCTCGATCCGGGGTGGATGCTATCCCTGAGGTCGCGGTAGACGCAGATCGGCCGATAGTTCAGAGTCCGCGTCTGTCTCCTCAACCCGAGAAAAGGCCTACACAATCAAAGTGAGTGTCACACAGAGGTGTTGAGTACCGATAGTATGGCTATCCTCCACGTCGGTTCTCAGCACCTTCATGTATCTTCGGATTCTAATTGCTGATATGCAGCTTGACCAGACGATCCCGCCCATCACCACTACGATTGGGACAAAGAGGCGATGCTCAAGATCGCACAACCCGCACAACTCGGCGTTCCTCCTTGAAGCGTCCCGCCCCTGCAGACCCCGAGCCGGTCAGCCCATCGCCTCCCGCGAAAAACACGCGACTACAAAAGCGGCGAAGGCTGCAATCGGAGGCGGCAGCTGGCCATGTCGATGCAGCGGCCGCGTCGACTAACATCAGAGCTGCTGGTGGCACAATCAGCTCTTATACCCATACCCGTCGCCGAAAACCACTGTCGAACGTCCAATCGTGACCTTCTAATGGAGCCTGTGTACATATACCCGCTTGATATGTGGATGTTATTTCCTAGAGGTAGATGGCAATTTACATGTTTACGGCCACACTCAAGAACTCGGCACACACATGCTGTCAACAAAGTACTGATAACGTGTTTGCGATGAAATCTATGTAAGTAGGTGGTATATGCCAGGCTCAAGCGCTCAAGCTTGGGCAAGCGCGACCTTTCAGTGTGTCGATTGCGTGACAAAGACTTCAAACAGGCGGCGATCCTGGTCGGGTGTTGCTTGGATCTTAGACTTGTGCTCAGTAGCAGTACTTACTAGCTGTACAGCCCATCGTAGTAGCATTTGATCGTATAATGAATGAATCGAGGCGCAACCTGCGTTCTATTAATATGTACTGCTCAAGTAGATGATGCGGCAATGATGCGGTCATCTTGGTTACAGGTGACGTAGTGGTCGACTTAGCACTTCCAAATAAGGCTACGCGACGCGCGCCCGACGCGTCGGTGGCCACTCGATCGATCTCAGATCGCGTTCTGTGCATGCGCCCGCCCTCAAGCTCGCTACAACTTCATCCTCACGTTATGGCTTGACTTCAATCTCCGACAGTCTGCGCGCATATATAAGACTCTCGTCGAGGTACCCACTGTCGTACATCTTCTCCTACAACCACCATGTAGCTCCAGGCCCCGCGCCGTCTCTTCTATTGACAACGGTAGCTGACAGTGACTATATGCGCCCGTTATGCAGCGCGTCGCTTCCCCTGCCTCTTGCGCATTCGTACATTCATTGCGCACAGGAGGACGTCATCACGGATGGGTCAGCCCTCTAGCTCGTCCCGCGCCCTCTAGCTCATCTCCCTCGCCGGCCTGCACCCCAACGCCGCGACGGCCGAGCTTGCGCACA